AAAAACAGTTAAGCAGAAAAACAATAACAGTAACAATACAACAAGACACTATTAAAACTGGGCCGGCCAGAGTAGGGGTACAGGATTAAAAGTGCTGATGTGGCGGGAGGAATGCAGGATTATAAGCAAGTGCAGTGTGCAGTGTGCAGTGATCTTGGTTCTCTAAAGTGCTTCTAGGACTTGGTGCTGGAGGTTCCTAATCTGAAAAGGCACATCGGAACAGCCAGGTTTTCAAATTCTTTCTGAAGACTGCCAATGTAGGGGCCTGTCTGAGATCTTTCGGGAGGGCGTTCCAGAGTCGGGGGGCCACTACAGAAAAGGCCCTGTCTCGCGTCCCCACCAAGCGCCTGCGACGTGGGCGGGATCACGAGCAGGGCCTCTCCTGATGACCGGAGTGAGCGTGTGGGTTCGGAGACTGTGATGCGGTCACGCAGGTAGGGTGGTCCCAAACCGTTCAGGGCTTTGTAGGTAAGCACCTGCACCTTAAATTGGGCTCGGAAAATAACCGTAGCCAGTCGAGCTCCTTGAACAGGAGGGTTGACCTCTCTCTGTAAGGGGCCCCAGTTAACATCCTGGCTGCTGCCCGTTGGACCAGTTGGAATTTCCGAGCCGTTTTCAAGGGCAGCCCAACGTAGAGCGCATTGCAGTAATCCAATCTAGAGGTGACCAAGGCATGGACCACCCCGGCCAGATCAGCCTTCGCGAGGTACGGACGCAGCTGGCGCACAAGTCTCAGTTGTGCAAAAGCCCTCCCGGACACCGCCGACGCCTGAGCCTCAAGCGTAAGCGATGAATCCAAGAGGACTCCCAAACTGCGGACCTGTGGCTTCAGGGGGAGTGTAACCCCGTCCAACACAGGTTGCCACCCTATACCCCGATCTGGTTTGCGATCGACCAGGAGGACCTCTGTCTTGTCGGGATTGATCTTCAGCTTGTTTCTCCTCATCCAGATAGACACAGTGGCCAGGCACTCGTCCAGCACCTGAGAGGCCTCCTTGGAATTAGGTGGAAAGGAGTAGTAGAGTTGTGTGTCATCTGCGTAGAGATGGCACCCAACTCCAAAACTCCGGATGACCTCTCCCAGCGGTTTCATGTAGATGTTAAAAAGCATGGGAGACAGAATAGAGCCTTGCGGGACCCCACAGGTCAAGGGCCAGGGGTCCGAGCAGGCGTCTCCCAGCTTCACCATCTGGGTTCGTCCCTCCAGGAAGGACCGGAGCCACGACAAAACCGTGCCCCCGAGACCCATCCCAGAGAGTCGACCCAGAAGGATACCATGATCGATGGTATCGAAAGCCGCTGAAATGTCCAAGAGAACCAACAGAGTCACACTCCCCCGTCCAGCTCTCTACGGAGGTCATCCACCAAGGCGACCAAGGCTGTCTCGGTGCCGTGACCAGGCCTGAAGCCAGACTGCGACTGATCTAGGTATTTGATGTCATCCAAAAAGCCCTGGAGCTGGGAGGCGACCACCCGCTCCAGCACCTAACCCAAAAAAAGGGAGGTTGGAGATTGGCCTGTAATTGTTCAGCACTGTGGAGTCAAGGGAAGCCTTTTTGAGGAGTGGGCGAACCACAGCCTGTTTCAAATTAGATGGAAAAATCCCTTGCTCCAGCGATGCGTTAATAATCAACACAAACCAATCAACCAACCCCTCCTTGGCAGGACCCCCATGTCTTGGACTCGCTTGCATGGACCTCCCTCCAGCCTCACACACTCTCCCTCGCCCACACATGCGCAACACACTGCTATGTGCCGAGCATGCCTGCTCTCCCTTCCCCCGCTTGGAGTCTCAGAAACAGCCCTCCCCTAGGCGGAGAGCCGGTTGAGAGGCCAGCCAATCACAGTGGAGGAGGGCTTTTGGTAGGTGGATTCGCCATCTCTTTTCAAAAAGGAAGAGGACATGTGGAGAGATCTTCAGCCTTCTCTGCCAAAGGTATTCCTAATACCATCAGAAATATGTTTTCTGATGGTCTTAGGTGACCCCTCTGAAAGCCTCTTGTGACCCCCCAGGGGTCCCGACCCCCAGCTTGAGAAACACTGGTCTATGCCGAACTTTGATTTTCAGGTACCTTGTTATTTTAGGTTTTCATGTACCTATCTCTTGGATTTCCTGTATCTGGATATCTTGGATTTTTATGGACATTACCATTTTGGACTATTGATCTTTGTATTCTGGACTATGATTCTGATTTCTATGATTCTATGTGAGAGCTGTTCAGCAGTGGTACTCTCTGTCCTGGAGTGTGGTGGAGGCTTCTTCTTTGGAGGCTTTCAAACAGAGGCGAGATGGCCATCTGTCGGGGGTGCTTTGAATGCGATTTTCCTGCTTCTTGGCAGGGGGTTGGACAGGATGGCCCATGAGGTCTCTTCCAACTCTATGAATCTATGATCCTATGACTATTGCTATTTCATAGCACCTTTTTCTACTGACTTTTTCCCTTCTGTGTTTGCCTTTTGTAAAATAAATTCTGTAGTTAGCAGCTACTGGACTCTGTTTGATGCTAGATGAAAAGGTGTTCCTGACCTAGTGTGCGACAGATACTAGACAAAGATAAGATAGATGCGAGATATCAAGAGATAGATAAACAGATAGATAAGATAACTAGAGATGAATAGATAGCTAAGATAGATATGAGATAGAAAAATAGAGAGAAAGATAATACTAGATACAATTAGATATGAGATAAAGAAATAGATAAAGATAGAAAGATCAATAAGATAGATGTGAGATATAGAGATAGATAGATAAACAAGATAAGTAGAGAAGAATGATGGAAGGATAGATTAGATCAGGGGCCCTCAAACTTTTTAAACAGAGGGCCAGGTCACAGTCCATCAAACTGTTGGAGGGCGGATTATAATTTGGAAAAAAAATGAATGAATTCCTATGCACCTCACATATCTTATTTGTAGTGCAAAAGAACACTTAAGACAATACAATAATTAAAATGAAGAACAATTTTAACAAATATAAAGTTATTAGTATTTCAATGGGAAGTGTGGGCCTGCTTTTGGCTGATGAGATAGGATTGTTGTTGTTGTTGTTGTGTGCTTTCAAGCCGATCCAGACTTTATTATTATTATTAAACTTTATTTGTACCCCGCTAGCATCTCCCGAAGGACTCGATGCGGCTTACAAAGGCCAAGGCCTCAAACAACAACAACAGACAATAACAATATAATGCAAGCAAATTAAAAACATAAGCAATAACAACAACAAAACATTACACTATTACGCAATAAAACCAGGGCCGGGCCAATGAAGGGTACAGGTTAAAAAAGTGCTGGGTGTAAGAGGTGATATGTTGGGATTATGGGCAAGTGCAATGTGCAGAGAGTCTTAAGCTCTAATAAAGTGCTTCTGGGACGTAGTGCTGGAGGTTATCCTATTCCGGAAAGGCACATCGGAATAGCCAGGTCTTCAAGTTCTTCCTAAAGACTGCCAACGTGGGTGCTAGTCTAATGTCTTTGGGGAGGGTGTTCCAAAGTTAGGGGGGGTGGCAAACCACCGAGAATAGATAGCCCTGTTTCCTCGTCCCATGGAGGAACCACAACGTGATCACTTCGACCTGTGACGCAGGTGGGATCGTGAGCAGGGCCTCTCCGGATGAACGAAGGGAGCGCGTGGGTTCATAAACGGAGATGCGGTCACGCAGGTAGGCAGGTCCCAAACCATTCAGGGCTTTGTAGGTAAGCACCTGCACCTTGAATTGGGTTCGGTAGGTAAACGGCAGCCAATGGAGCTCCTTAAACAGGAGGGTTGACCTCTCTCTGTAAGGAGCGCCAGTTAACATCCTGGCCGCCGCCCGTTGAACCAGTTGGAATTTCCGAGCCGTTTTAAAGGGCAGCCCCACGTAGAGCGCATTACAGTAATCCAACCTAGAGGTGACTAAGGCATGGACCACCCTGGCCAGATCAGCCTTTGCAAGGTACGGTTGCAGCTGGCGCACAAGTCTTAGTTGTGCAAAAGCCCTCCCGGACACCGCCGACGCCTGAGCCTCAAGACTTAGGTTGACCCTGAGCTAGGGCCGGGTAAATGACCAAGAAATAGAAAAAAAGATAGATACTATAGATAAGATACATACAAGAAAAATAGATTGATAAACAGGCAGATAGATAAACAAGATAACTAGAGAAGCAAGATGGATCGATATCTCTCCTTATGAACCAACTAGGAGCTTAAGATCATCTGGTGAGGTCCTGCTCTCAGTCCTGCCTCCTACGCAGATGCAATTGTTGGGAATGAGAGGTGGCCCCTTGGCTATGGAATGCCTTCCTTAGGGATATCAGATCGGCCCCCTCCCTCCTAACATTTTGAAAAAGAGTGAAAATCTGGCTTTTTGAGCAAGCATTTGCAAATGCAGTGTAACAGGCTAATTTAAATCCACGGAATGATTGAACGATGCGACTGGAAAATGATTTTAATAATGAGATGCTGCAGACTTGTGTTTTTATTGTTTTCATTGTGTCTACTGTTTTTATATGGCTTATATTATATGTTAATGTTTTTAATTATATTTTATGTTGTTGAGGGCATTGATTGCCTCCTTGAGTCACCTTCGGGCTGAGAAAGGCGGTATATAAATATGGTAAATAGATAGATAGATAGATAGATAGATAGATAGATAGATACTAGATATATAGATATAGGTAAACAGATAAGATAATTTGATAAGAAAGATGGATAGATCGATAGATAGATATTATAGAATGAAATGATAAATTCAGGTAGATACTATAGAAAGAGATAGATTTGGGACATAGATGATAAATAGATAGGTAGCTAGAGAGACAGATATATAGATAGATAAGATAGAGAGATAGATAGATAATAGATTGGCTCCGAGGCTTGAGAATGGTGTAATGTTTGGCTCTGAGTTTAGAAAAGTTACTTTTTTAAGGCATTTCAGAGAGGATGACAGAAGCCATGCCGGGGAAGGGATTCTGCAAGCTCTGCTCCCTGCAAAAAGTAACTTTTCTCCCTTCCCTCCCTCTAGCCCTTCGGTCATTGCGGCGAGTGGTTTTGCAACCCTGGCGTTCCTCTTTGCTGTGGTCTATCTTCCAAGCCACTCACAGGATCCGCTTTACTATGGTAGGATTCAAACGAGCCTTAGGCTTAAAAAAAAGGTTCACAAGAGATGAAAGCAACCCGAAGCTGATTCTAAATAGATAAGATACATAGGTAGATTTTATACTAGACATAGATAGATAGATAGATAGATAGATAGATAGATAGAGGAAAAAGAAAATATAGATATTGGAGAAAGAGATAGATATAGTGATAGATAGATAAATAGATTCGATACTAGAGATAGAAAGATGAATGGATGGATAAGATAGTTATTGTCTGAATCTGGCATTGAATTATTGCCATAGTTTGTAAACCACCCTGAGTCCCCCTTCAGAGGTGAGAAGTACAGTAAATAATTTTTAAAAATAGATGCTATAGAAAGAGATAGATAGATAGATGATAGATGATAGATAGATAGATAGATAGATAGATAGATAGACAGACAGACAGACAGACAGATAGATTGGCAAAGATAGATACGAGATATAGAAATAGATAGATGGTAGATACTATAGAAAGAGAGGAGGAAGAGGCACTGCTCTCAGTCCCATCCCCATCTCAAGTACGGCTGGTGGGAACGAGAGAGAGCACTTTCTCCATGTACGTCCTCCTCCTCTGGAACTCCCTCCCTAAAGAAATAAAGCTGGCCCCCTCCCTCCTCTCCTTCAAAACACAATTGAAGATTCATCTCTTCTCGTTAGCATATGGAGAGGAGGAGGATTAGACATTGCAAGATTACTACCAGACCTCTGGCTGAGAATTATTTCATACTCGGGCTTCTCTAGTCTATATTAGCCCAGTTACCATCACTGGTCATACAACCACTCTGGCCACAAAACCAACCTACACCATTTTGTGAACGATAGTTGACTGTGAATGTTTTATGTTCAGATTTTACATCATTGTATAATTGTTTAATTATGATTGGTTTAATTTATTGATGTTAGGTTCTAATGTTGTTTCAATATGTGGAGTTTTCCTGGGGCAATTATGTTGGTACTTGTTTGCTTTATGGAGGCATTGAATGTTTGCTGTTGTATGACGAACCACATCTCCCACTATAGACCAACTCAGACACTGTGGTCATCGGAGGAGGCCCTCCTCTCAGTCCTACCCCCGTCCCAAGCACGGTTGGTGGGAACGAGAGAAAGGGCATTCTCTGTGGCCACCTCTCACCTCTGGAACTCCTTTCCTAAGGAGTTAAGGATGGCCTCTTCCCTCTGCGCCTTCAAGAAACAGCTGAAGATCTACCTTTGCTCACTGGCTTACGAGGAGTAGTAGTAGTAGTTCAGCGTTTCTCAACCTGGGGGTCGGGACCCTTGGGGGGGGGTTGCGAGGGGGTATCAGAGGGGTAATCAAAGACCATCAGAAAACAAATTATTTTCTGTTGGTCATGGAGGTTCTGTGTGGGAAGTCTGGTCCAATTCTTTCATTGGTGGGGTTCAGAATGCTCTTTGGTTGTTGGTGAACTATAAATCCCAGCAACTACAACTCCCAAATGTCAAGGTCTATTTTCCCCAAACTTCACCAGTGTTCACATTTGGGCATATTGGTATCTGTGCCAAGCTAGGTCCAGATCCATCACTGTTTGAGTCGACAGTGCTCTCTGGATATAGGTGAACTACAACTCCAAAACTCAAGGTCAATGCCCACCAAATCCTTCCAGTATTTTCTATTAGTCATGGGAGTTCTGTGTGTTAAGTTTGGTTCAATTTCATCATTGGCGGAGTTCAGAATGCTCTTTGATTATAGGTTAACTATAAATCCCAACTACAACTCCCAAATGACAAAAATCAATCCCCCCCCAACCCTACCAGTATTAGGAAGGTTGAGAACCACTGTAGTAGTTGGTAATGCTACAATTATACCTGTGATTAATAACTACCATCCACATCTGTGCCCTGTTTGCCCCACCAGCTAATAGATATCTTGAGCAATGATCACTCTACTTGCCCCCAAGGAACTGTGAAATTGATGCTTCTATTCAATGTTTGATGTTTTGTCTTATGTCTGACAGGCTGCTTTTTTAATTTAATTTTAGTTGTTAAGTCATAATTTGTTTTTATATGATGGGTTGCCAAATTTCATTACTATGGGTGTATTGTTGTTGTGTTCAGGCATTGAATGTTTGCCTATAATGTTTGGAATCCGCCCTGAGTCCCTCCAGGGAGATAGGGCAGAATACAAATAAATTACTGTTATTATTATTATTATTATTATTATTATTATTATTATTATGTTGGAATCTGCCCTGAGTCCCTTCGGGGAGATAGAGCATAATAATAATAATAATAATAATAATAATAATAATAATAATAGGTTGTTGTAGGTTTTTTCAGGCTATATGGCCATGTTCTAGAGGCATTCTCTCCTGACGTTTCACCTGCATCTATGGCAAGCATCCTCAGATTAAACTGCCAGCTGCAGTAAATCTTGTCAATCGAAATGTTGACATTTCGAAGCCCTGTTCAGGGTGAACTCCGGGCTTTTAACCCAGCTTACGCCTTCCTAGTGGTTCGAAAGCGAAATGTGAGTAGATAAATAGGTATCGCTTAAAAGTGGGGAAGTATTTTAAGGCACTCATAAGGAAATGCCAGAAAAATGACAGCAATTTGACAAAGGAGGGAGTTTACGAACAAAGTTCTTCTGCAGGGAGATGGAGCAACAATGCCCCCCCCCCCCCATGCCTGGAACCGAGCACAAGCCTCCGAGATGCCGAAGATGGGAAAAGATTATATAGACCTCTTTCTATGTACAACTGTCTGTCTTGTCAGTATATAAAATGGCATTGAATGTTTGCCGCAGATGTATGTTCGGTGATCTGCTCTGAGTCCCCTTTGGGGTAAGAAAGGTGTAAATATTGTAAATAGATAGATAGATAGAGAGATGGATAATATAGATTAGATGCTAGAGATGGATAGATGCTTTAGAGATAGATAGATAGATAGATAGATAGATAGATAGATAGATAGGGATTGATACTAGAGATAGATATATACAATAGAGATATAGGTACAATAGAGAGATACTGGAGATACAAGACACAGAAACAGATAGATAGATAGTAGGCTTGTGTGTTTGATGCAGAAATAGCCTTGATTCAGATCTAGTTCAGATGTTTAGCACTTTTGAAGTGAGTTCCAACATGCCCCCCCCCCCCAATATTAAAATTTTGAATTAAAAGGAGCCTTCGATTCTTAAGCCTCGGATATGTTTGGATGTAGCCATGACGGAGCTAAAATTCACAGGGCAACCAAGCTCTGCTGAGAGGCAAAGCCAAACCTGTTGGCATGCCTCTCCAACCAATCAGGGCTGATGGAGGAGGGAGGGGAAGGCAGTCAAAGATTGCTAAAAAATGTTTTTATAAAAACTTTGAAAATTTGCCAAAAATCCGTGGATAAGTCAAACATTATGATATTTGGTGAGCTAACAGTGGTAAATGTGTTCTACAACTGTAGCAAGTTTCATCAGGATAGCTCAAAAAACTAGGGAGAGAGAAGTCCCTCAAGTTTCCCCTCTAATGGTTATGTAATGCGCATGCGCAACTGCCATTAACAAAGTACTTACAAATACTTGAAAGTTTCGTAAAGTATCAAAAATTTTACCCCCCCCCCCACCAAATTCGGAAAGGACTTTAGAAATGAAGTACCAGCCCCCCCTACTTTTGAACACAGTTTAGAACCATTTTTTATTGCACATGCCTAATAGATAGATAGAGATAGATAGATTATAAATAGATAGATGGCAGATACTGGAGATAGATAAGAGATACTATGAAAAGTGATAACTAGAAACAGAAATAGAAAGAGGGGTAGATAAGATATGCTATAGAAATAGAGATAGATAGAGATAGATATAGATAGATAGATAGGTAGATAATAGAGATAGAGATACGAAAGATATACCCGTATATTCCGGCATATAAGACGACTGGGCGTATAAGACAACCCCCAAATTTTCCAGTTAAAATATAGAGTTTGGGATATACTCGCCATATAAGACTACCCCTCTTCCAACGCACACCAAATAAAAAWTTTTAAAGCATCAGATTTGATTTCAATATGGTAATCTTCCTATTACTGTACCTCCTTCTCTGCCTCTCAGATCTCGCACATGCGCACCTGMACCCCTTCACTGCAGTCTTCAGGAGCGAGATCTGAGAGGCAGAGGAGGAAGTACGGTAATAGGATACAAGGGTGGGTCAGACAGGTAAAAGAGGTGTGTTTTTCTGGGCCCAGAGCCACTCTATYTCTTTTTTCCATACCCCGGGCGCCCCGGACGCCTGCAGCTTGCTCCGCCCTTCACTTACACCTTCCCGGTGAGGCGCCCCTTCATCCCACCAGYAGGACCGCATTAAGTCCACAAATCCTGATGAATGCATTTTCTTCTACCATACTTGTACAGCGTCGCCCTTAATGCTTTCATACAGTAGCTGCATACGGCAGGGATGCGGCCACTGCCATTTTTGAGCTCCCCCCACAATATGCAGCAACCACAGATTCTCCAATCTGGATTGGAAGTTTCAGCACCCGCCCTATAAGATGACTCCCGTCGTATAAGACTACTCTGGCATATAAGACGACTCGCATGCATAAGGCTATAAGACGACTCCCGCGTATAAGACTACGCCCGCGCATAAGATGACCCCTGACTTTTGAGAAGATTTTCTTGAGTTAAAAAGTAGTCTTATGCGCCAGAATATACGGTAGATGCATAGATAGATAACAGGGTTGGATAGGTTCGTTCGGAAGAACCTAAAAGTCGTAAAAAACTTCCAACTTTTGCCTTCCGAACCATGCGAGAAAGGTGGGAGGGGCAAATTCGAAATTGAACCACTTGCCTTTCCCCCCCGGAAATATTCCATAATGTTAGGATTTCTCCCAAGGTTATTTTATTCCTTCCTTCTCCGGTTTTGCCCATCTTCTTGTCCCTCTCACTCGGCTTGAGCCTTTCGAGGGAGAAGAAGAGGGGAAGAACTGGAGAAGAAAGGAATTAACTTCTCCGCTTTTCCCTTGTGGCTGGCGGCCTGAGTCGCAGCGGAGAAGGCCTGCCTACTGCTGCTTGCGTGGCTCTGGAGGCAGGTAGGCGCATGGGCCAGGAGGAGCAGCTGCACAAGCGCTCCGAGTCTTGGGAGAGCAAACAGAGTCGAAGGAACAACCCCGAGAAGTGAGGGAACACTGTAATTTTCTCCATCAATTTAACACAGTTTGTGCTACACAAACAAAGTTTCTGGAGTGGAACAACAACTTTCAAAGTAAAGACAACCCAACGAAACAGGAAATAACATTTTCAAACTGTTAACAAAATGATTCGGAAGTCTCGGAAGTTTCGAAAAGTTTTAATTTTTTTTTCCTGTGGAGATCAGAATTGACTTTAGAATCGAACCACCATCTGAAACAAGTTTTGAACCATTTTTTGGATCAATCAAGCCTAATAGATAGAGATAGATAAACAGGCAGGTAGATAAGTGATACTATAGAAAGAGATGCTCGATATGAGATAGAAATAGATAGAAAAGATAGCTTAGATAGTAGAGATGGAAAGATGGCTTTCTGTCTTACTTTGCTTTCTCACTTCTTTCAGTATTTATGGTTTTCTCCTTCTCTTCGGGGGTCGACGCCATCATCGCCTTGGAGGAAGACAGGTTCATGGACAACTTTATAGGATTCTACATGAGAGAGGTGCGTGTCGGTGTTTTTTGGGGAGGACTACAACTCCCATGGGCCATTAAGAACTCCCTTAAAAGTAAAACAAGAGTTGGAAGGGACCCCAAGAGGACATCTAGTCAACCCCTTCAGAAGACACGATCCAAGCCCTCCCGACAAAAGCCCATCTCTCCTTCTCCTCCTTCTCCAAATGCTGAAGCTTCAACGCTTTCCAGTGTCTTTTCCTTTCTTTTTTAAGGGCGAGCCGTACCTTACCACCGCTTATGGAATTATGATTTGCTACTGGGATGGCGTCATCCATTACGGCCTTTATATCTCTATGATCATAGCCATCCATAAAAGGTATGACTTTGTTATGGATATCTACCTATCTATCTATCAATCTATCTATCTAATTACATTATAGTTTATAATATTATAATGTAATACAATATAATACTACTACTACTACTAATATGATATTATGGATCCGGGTCACTCTCTGGAATGGGGAGATGACTAGGGCAATTGACACGATCGCTCCGGAACGTCCCCTCTCAAGTAGCCGAGCTAAACCAGCTCCCTGGTTCACCGAGGAGCTGGCAGCGATGAAGCGAAGGAAGAGGGAACTAGAGTGTGTGTGGCGTTCGGATCCGAGTGAGCCAAATCGAACACGGTTTGTGTCCTTTTTAAGGGCATATGCCGCGGCAATAAAAGCCGCAAAGAAGGCCTTCTTTGCAGCCACTATTGCGTCTGCAAAGAACCGTCCGGCTGAGCTGTTCCGAATTGTCAGAGGCCTTTTAAATCCCACCACTCAAGTGGGAACCCTGACGATTCGACTTCTCGCTGTGAAGCTTTTGCTCAGTTCTTTGCAGACAAAGTCGCTTTGATCCGTTCTGGTCTGGATACCATGTTAATGGCAGTCTCTGAGGATGTAACACGAGCACCTGCTTGTCCAGTTTTGATGGATTCATTTCAATTGGTGAAACCCGAGGATGTGGACAAGATACTTGGAGGAATGAGGCCAACCACATGCATCCTGGACCCCTGCCCATCCTGGCTTCTAAAGGAGGCCAGAGGGGGATTGGCTGAGTGGGTAAAGGTGGTGGTTAATGCTTCCCTTCGGGAAGGCAAGATTCCAGCGAGCTTAAAACAAGCTATAATAAAACCGCTGTTGAAAAACCATCACTGGACCCCACTAAATTCGACAACTATCGGCCAGTTTCCAATCTCCCCTTCTTGGGCAAAGTCTTGGAACGTGTGGTGGCCTCACAACTCCAGGTATTCTTGGTAGACACGGATTATCTAGACCCGGCACAGTCTGGCTTTAGGCCGGGACATGGTACCGAGACAGCCTTGGTCGCCTTAGTGGATGATCTGCGCCGGGAGCTCGACAGGGGGAGTGTGTCCCTGTTGGTGCTGCTGGACCTCTCAGCGGCCTTCGATACCGTCGACCACGGTATCCTTCTGGGACGCCTCGCAGGGATGGGTCTTGGAGGTACTGTTTTGCAGTGGCTCCGGTCATTCCTGGAGGGTCGATCTCAGAAGGTGTTGTTGGGGGACACCTGTTCAACCCCACAACCATTGTCTTGTGGGGTTCCTCAGGGCTCAATATTGTCTCCCATGTTGTTTAACATCTACATGAAGCCGCTGGGGGAGATCATCCGGAGTTTCGGGGTACGGTGTCATCTGTACGCGGATGATGTCCAACTCTGTCACTCCTTTCCACCTGCTACTAAGGAGGCTGTCCAGGGCCTGAACCGGTGCTTGGCCGCTGTGACGGTCTGGATGAGGGCGAACAAATTGAAATTGAATCCAGACAAGACAGAGGTACTCCTGGTCAGTCGCAAGGCCGAACAGGGCATAGGGTTACAGTCTGTGTTGGATGGGGCCGCACTCCCCCTGAAGACGCAGGTTCGCAGCTTGGGTGTGACCCTGGACTCATCGCTGAGCCTGGAACCCCAGGTTTCGGCGGTGACCAGGGGAGCATTTGCACAGCTAAGCTTGTGCGCCAGCTGCGCCCGTACCTTGGGAAGTCTGACTTGGCCACGGTAGTTCACGCTCTGGTTACATCCCGTTTAGACTACTGCAACGCTCTCTATGTGGGGTTGCCTTTGAAGACAGCTCGGAAGCTCCAACTAGTCCAACGCTCGGCAGCCATGATTTTAACAGGAGCGGAGCGCAGGGAGCATACAACCCCCCTGTTGCGCCAACTCCACTGGCTACCGATCTGCTACCGGCTCAATTCAAAGTGCTGACGTTGGCCTTTAAAGCCCTAAACAGTTCCTGCCCAAGCTACCTATCCGACCGCATCTCTGCCTATGAACCCACCAGGACTTTGAGATCTTCCGGGGAGACCCTGCTCTCGATCCCGCCTGCTTCTCAAGCTCAGCTGGCGGGGACGAGAGATAGGGCCTTCTCGGTGGTGGCTCCTCGTCTGTGGAACGCCCTTCCTACGGACATTAGACTAGCACCATCTCTAATGGTATTCCGCAAAAAGGTGAAGACCTGGATGTTTGTGCAGGCGTTTGAGTAATTTAGTGCAATCTGGTAATGGAATATAGGAATGGAACAATGGACGACGAACCTGGACTACGCTTGGATGATGAGAAGATTGGGTACGGTTGTTTTTTGTAATAATTGTGCATTGTAATTGCTTATTGGTAATTTATGGATAATGTGTTAAGTCAATTGTTATATGTTGTATGGAACCACTGCTGTTTCTACTGTTTTTACTGTTTGTGAACCGCTGTGAGTCGCCTTCAGGCTTGAGATACAGCGATATATAAGCAAAGTAAATAAATAAATATATTACATGTAATATTACTAATAATATTACAATATAATGGTATAGTACAATGTAGTAATATATAATACTGATATTGTACTATGCTAATATATATATATATCTTGTAAGCTGCTCTGAGTCCCCTTTGGGGTGAGAAGGGTGGCATATAAATGTCATAAATAAATAAATAAATAAATAATACATCTATCTATCAGAAAGTATATATGTGTGACTCCTATACGGCTTGATGGATCTGGACCAGACATGGGTACACATAACTTTCATGACCTAACTTAAAATACTGGTAGGATATCAATTTAAAAATTAAAATGAAGAAATGGGCATGTATGTGTGCAGCACTCAGAAGCAACCACGAGAGGGTGGTATAGAGATAGAAAGGATAAGCTACTAGTCTAGATATATATGTATGCACTGCTCGGATCCAGACACAAGGCAGTATATAGATAGAAAGGATAAACTACTCGTCTAGATATATATGTATGCAGTACTCAGATGCAGCCACAAGAGGGCAATAAGGATTAGCTACTGGTCTCTATGTATGTGTGCAGTACTCAGATGCAGCCACAAGAGGGATATATATGGATTAGCTACTTGCTTCTAAATATGAATGTATGCAGTGCTCAGAGGCAACCACAAGAAGGCAGTATATAAATAGAAAGGATTAGCTACTTGCTTCTAAATATGAATGTATGCAGTGCTCAGAGGCAACCACAAGAAGGCAGTATATAAATAGAAAGGATTAGCTACTTGCTTCTAAATATGAATGTATGCAGTGCTCAGAGGCAACCACAAGAAGGCAGTATATAAATAGAAAGGATTAGCTACTTGCTTCTAAATATGAATGTATGCAGTGCTCAGAGGCAACCACAAGAAGGCAGTATATAAATAGAAAGGATTAGCTACTTGCTTCTAAATATGAATGTATGCAGTGCTCAGAGGCAACCACAAGAAGGCAGTATATAAATAGAAAGGATTAGCTACTTGCTTCTAAATATGAATGTATGCAGTGCTCAGAGGCAACCACAAGAAGGCAGTATATAAATAGAAAGGATTAGCTACTTGCTTCTAAATATGAATGTATGCAGTGCTCAGAGGCAACCACAAGAAGGCAGTATATAAATAGAAAGGATTAGCTACTTGCTTCTAAATATGAATGTATGCAGTGCTCAGAGGCAACCACAAGAAGGCAGTATATAAATAGAAAGGATTAGCTACTTGCTTCTAAATATGAATGTATGCAGTGCTCAGAGGCAACCACAAGAAGGCAGTATATAAATAGAAAGGATTAGATACTGGCTTCCAAATATGATTGTATGCAGTCCCCAGATGCAGCCAGAAGAGGGCAGTATATAGATTGAAAAGAAAAGCCACTAGTCTAAATATATAATGTGGGATTTTCTGCCTTGATATTCTGGAATATGGCTGTATGAAAGGGCCCTCAGTTGCCTTTCCTACTTGCAGTGTATTGTATTCAGGTGTGTGGAAGGGGGCTTAGATACAAGTATTTATTATTATTTATTACAGTCGCTTATACCCCGCCCTTCTCACCCCGAGGGGGACTCAGGGCGGCTTACACAACAAGGCACAATTCGATGCCCGCATTACATGACAACAAAACATAACATCAATAACAATAGCAATTATAACAATGATAACAATTAACCTAAGCAGTCATTATTATCGGCGACACATCCAAAAAACCCATAAAGTAAAAGCAATTAAAACAATTAAAACAGTAAAAGCAATACAAACCTCATTGCTGGACAGCGTTTAACAGACTCATAGTTAGGTTCTACTTTCCGCACATTGTCAGTCCTATCCATCTGGATTCCATATCTAATTGTCATGATGCCCAAAGGCCTGGTCCCATAGCCACGTCTTTACCTTTCTCCTAAAGGCAAGGAGGGATGTTGATGTCCTAATTTCCCCCGGGAGTGAGTTCCACAGGTGGGGGGCCACCACTGAGAAGGCCCTGCTCCTCGTCCCCACCAGCCTCACTTGTGATAGTGGTGGGGTCGAGAGCAGGGCCTCCCCAGATGATCTCAAATTCCGGGGTGGGACGTAGAGGGAGATACGTTCGGACAGATACGCTGGACCGGAACCGTAAAGGGTTTTGTAGGTCAAAACCAGCACCTTGAATTGTGCTCGGAACTGGATTGGCAGCCAGTGGAGCTGACACAACAAGGGAGTTGTGTGTTCCCTGTATGTCGCTCCGGTGAGCAGCCTGGCTGCCGCTCGTTGGACCAGTTGAAGTTTCCGAACAGTCTTCAAGGGCAACCCCACGTAGAGTGTGTTGCAGTAGTCTATACGGGATGTAACAAGAGCGTGGACCGCTGTGGCCAGATCAGACTTCCCGAGGTACGGGCGCAGCTGGTGCACAAGTTTTAAAGTACAACTGAAGAGCAAATCTAGAAAACTGATCTTGTTCGTAGCTGGAAGACTGCCTGTAATTTTACAGCGGGGTCTCTTCCTTTGCCTTCCGAAAAGGCCTCAAGGGCTATAAAGCCGCCCCTACCAAAAAAGCTACATCACAAGGAGAGAGAACAAATGGCAGAGGGCAAGCACAACATCAAGTCCTCCTTGAGTTCCTCCTAATGGACATGACCCTGACTTTCCCCTCTAGGAAAAGCTACCGAAACATCGGCCTCTACTGGATCGGGTCTCTCACCATGAGCCTCATCGTTTTCTTACCGGGCAATGCAATTGGTGAGTCTTTGTTTCCTAGGAATTGATTCAGAAACTCCAGTCCAAAGCCATACATGTGATAATCCTGGCACATGGTCTCTTTGCAGGGAAATACGGCTCGGAGATCCGACCGGCCTTCTTGCTCAACATTCCCTACCTTCTCATCCCTATCTGGGCCGCCATGCGGATCTTTGCCCACCCCAAGAACCCGACCTTAATGACAGCAGATCAGGTACCGTGAATGAGGGTCCTGTTAGATAGAGAATGCATTGTTAGACAGGAATGCATTGACAGTAATCATATTGTGTAAAAATACAGTTCTAATGGACATGTGATCATACACCTGCAGAATGATTAAGTGAGTGGTGATGCATTACTTACAAGTTGTGACCATGTAATATTCATGACAAGAGTTGTATTGTTCATTTTTGTCCCTGACTGATGATAAAAGAAGACAGGAGACGCTCGTTCTTTCCCTTGCCAAGAAAACTCCCTTGCTGTACATCTCTTGCCGATGTCTCTTGCTTGTATACCTATGTCGCTGTCTATGCCAATACAAATGTGGAAGTGGTGGCCTTCCCCTACTGCTTTGCTTCAGAAGTTGGACCTCAGTTAGACTCTTCTTGGTTACACAGGCTCTCTTGGATCCTTACGCTTCAAGGAGAGTCAACTTGGAGTCCAACCGGTTCGCTCTCTAGATAGATTGGGCTTGGATGGGAGGTCCCCTTTGCTATGTTAAGTTTTCATTCCTTGTTTTCTTCCCCCCTCTTTTCCTGCTTTTTTCCTTCTCTGTGGTACAAAGATTGCCCAGGAGCAGGGCAAAACCTTGATCCAGCGACCTTTGGATTTGGGATTGGTGGCCTTCCTGCTTTTCGCCGTGGCCTTCACGCTTTTCCGAGGACTGGTGAGCATTATAATGCCTTTTTATTGCAGGTTAAACCAGTCTAATATGCCCTTCCAGTAATTGAATGAGGGACCTTTTGTTTCTGAGCCATGCCCTTCCCTTAATACTCCCTTGTGTTTACGCCCAGACTTTAGAAGAGCCTTCCTCCTCCTTCTCTTCCTCCTTCTATTTATCTTTTCCTTCCTCTTCCCCGCCACTTCCTCCTTCTCTTCCTTTCTTCTTTTTCTCTTTCTACTCCTTTATCATCTTCCTCTTCCTTCTCCTCTTCTCCTTTCTCCTCTTTCTTCTTCTGCCTTTTTCTCTTCTTTCTCTTTCTCCTTTTCTTCATCTTCTCCTTTTCCCTCTTTTTGACAAGCTGGAATGTGTCCAGAGGAGGGCGACTAAAATAATCAAGGGTCTGGAGAACAAGCCCTATGAGGAGTGGCTTAAGGAGCTGGGCATGTTTAGCCTGAAGAAGAGAAGGCTGAGAGGAGATATGATAGCCATGTATAAATATGTGAGAGGAAGCCACAGGGAGGAGGGAGCAAGCTTGTTTTCTGCTTCCCTGGAGACTAGGACACAAAACAATGGCTTCAAACTACAAGAGAGGAGATTCCATCTGAACATGAGGAAGAACTTCCTGACTGTGAGAGCCGTTCAGCAGTGGAACTATCTGCCCTGGAGTGTGGTGGAGGCTCCTTCTTTGGAAGCTTTTAAACAGAGGCTGGATGGCCATCTGTCAGGGGTGATTTGAATGCAATATTCCTGCTTCTTGGCAGGGGGTTGGACTGGATGGCCCATGAGGTCTCTTCCAACTCTTTGATTCTATGACTCTATGACCTTTGTTTTGTCTTCTTCTTCTTTCTCCTCCTTTATCTTCTTCCTCCTCTTCTTTCTTTTTCTCTTCCTCTTTCTCCTCTTCTTCTCCTTCCTCCTGCTCTTCCATGCCTTTGCCTTGATTTTCTCCTCTTCCTTTCTCCTCCTCTTCTTCTTCATCTCCTTCCTCCTCCTCCTTGCTTTCGTCTTTACCTTCATCTCCTCCTCCTTTATCTTCTTCCTCCTCTCCTTACTTTTTCTTCCTCTTTCTCCTCCTCTTCTTCTCCTTCTTCTTCCTCCTTCTCTTCCTTGTCTTTGCCTTCTCATCTTTTCTCTTCATCCTCCTTCTTCCTTATCTTCCTCTTCTTTCTCTTTCTCTTCCTCTACCTTCTTTCTTCTTTCTTTTTCTTGTCCTCTTTTTCCTCCTCCTCATTATCCTCCTCTCTTGCTAAAATGGAATCTAAAGAGGTCCGAACTTCAACTTTCAACCATTTTCCCCTCAAAATCCCTAAAACAAGCTGAAATATCTGGGTGTCTTTTCGAATGTGTAAAGCTTGATACTTTTGTGTATTGCATAGAGGGGGACTCTTAAGGTTCTTGGCTAGTTTTTGAAACATAAGAGGGAGACTTCTGTTACCAAAAGCGTTGCTCTTTCTGTAGGTGGTGCTGGATTGCCCCTGGGAGACGTGCTTCGACTACATCTACCAGCAAGAGCCCTACCTGCGGGACCCTGTGGCTTACCCCAAAGTCCAGGTGAGTCCATGAATGTACAACAGTGTATATAAAAATGGCTGTTACTTTCAACCTCTAGGAATATCTAGTCCTTGTATGGTCAAAAGACCATGTTGTTACTGAAATTAGCTAGCTGCTACCAGAGGGCAGTATAGGTCCTTTGCCCGGCACACCATGCTATTTTGAAAGCCAGAAAAAACATGATCGAGTTTGAAGGCAATAGTAGAGGTTTATTCAACTGGCCAGATGGATGACAGAACAGCTTAACTAAGCAAAGAACTGACATAACCCATACATAAAAGTGCAGCACATTTTTATAAAGTTTGGCAGCTATTCGGACCTCCCACACCATCCTCTGGTTGGTCAGGAGACATGCTTCCTAGAATCTACCTTCTCATTGGCTGAAACTTCTTCCTGACATCACCGGACGGGGAGGAACAGAGGACGGTGTTGCACTCCAGAACAGGAATAACCCTCTGATTTTAAAACACCACACATTGAGTAGGAAAACAAGAAGAAGAACTCAACAGGTTCCTGGACCATCTTAACAGCATCCACCCAAAAATCCAATTCACAATGGAAAAAGAAAATGAAGGAAGACTGCCTTTTCTAGATGTCCTAGTTATCCGCAAACCAGATCAACAATTGGGTCACACTGTCTACAGAAAACCCACACACAGATAGATATCTACATAAAAACTCCAACCATCACCCAAGTCAAAAAAGAAGCACCATTAAAGCCTTGGCAGACCGTGCAAAAAGAATCTGCGAACCCCACGTCCTCCAAGATGAACTGAACCACCTCAACTGGGCTCTCCAGGCCAATGGATACTCCACCTCAGACATCAGAAGAGCTGCAAGACCAAGAACAAGCCACGAGAGTAAAGATGAAGATCCACCCAGAGGAAAAGTGTTCCTTCCATACATCAAGGGAACCACTGACCGCATAGGGAAGCTGATGAGGAAACACAACATACAAACAATCTACAAACCCACCAAGAAAATCCAACAAACAAATGCTACGTTCAGCAAAGGACAAGAGGGATCCTCTCACCTCTGCAGGAGTCTACCGTATACCATGCAGCTGTGGACAAGTCTACATAGGGACCACCAAACGCAGCATTGCCCAAACAAGAATCAAGGAACATGAAAGGCACTGCAGACTACTTCAACCAGAGAAGTCAGCCATAGCAGAGCACCTGATGAACCAGCCTGGACACAGCATATTATTTGAGAACACAGAAATGCTGGACCACCCAACAACCACCATGTCAGACTACACAGAGAAGCCATTGAAATCCACAAGCATGTGGACAATTTCAACAGAAAGGAGGAAACCATGAAAATGAACAAAATCTGGCTACCAGTATTAAAAAACTCTAAAATTACAACAGCAAAACAGCAGAGAGGAAACAACCAGGCACATCTTAACACCTCTCAACAAAAGATTTTCCCAGGCTCAGCCAGGCCTTCAAATGCTAATGAAGGTGGTCAGTTGAAACATTCAAACCATACAGCAAGAAATCCTTAAACATGAATCTTCCAAGCAAGGCTTTCATGAGACAGGAGCAAGAACTTAGCAGGAATCTGAAACAATGCTTCATCTGACTATATTTCCTATGCGTGGAACTTTATATCCTCACATTAAGCCATTCCAAGCACTCAGGAATTAGTTTCGTTTTTCCTGAATGGCTCTCATCCTTATCTGTCGAAGCCTGGCAGAACACTGAAGGCCTTGGTCGACCTGTCTATTTTGGCTAATTTCCACCCACCTGTCTATACGCTCATTAGTCCCTGCAGGTGCCAAGTTGTTTTTAAGCCCCAAATCCTGGGAACTCTCTGGGAGCAATTCAGGGAGTAAACTCTCATCTCTATACCCTGTAGGAACATTCTCATGGGAAACTACGCTTTGAACCGGCGTCTCTATGTCATACTCTGCATTAATATCATTGACTAAACCATTGCCATCTTGACCCTCATTGAAATCATTCCCCACATCCAAAGTACCTTGATCTTGAAACACAATCACAGGCAGAACTCCAACAGACAGCTGGGATTGGTGGGGTTCAAAATTAAAGGTTTGTTGCTGTGTCCGCCTCTTTTGTGCCTCAGAATCACAAAAGGATAGGTGTTATGGCTTCCTGGATGTCCAGTTTCCCTACCTTAGAAACCTTTAAAAAGAATCTCAAGACCTGGCTCTGCCATTGCGCTTTTAGAGAGTAGTCAATCTTATTCTATTGCTCTCCTCAACGTTCTTGTCCTAGGAGTACACCCCCCGCCCCCGTACAATGGTCTGTCTATTACCCTGTCGCTCTACGTGTTCTCCCTTACAAATAATTCTGCTCCTTTATCTCACCCTGAGTTTTTTAAATCATTTCATGTACATGCGGCCCGCTCACTGTCATTATGTTTGGATTACTGCTCCCCCCCCATGTTTTGTGTATATTGTTTATTATGCTTATATGTTTTGTACTTTAATGTGATGTTGTTTATTATATTATTGTAATTTGTATTTTATTTTATTGTAATTTGTTATTTGGACCTGGCCTCATGTAAGCCGCCCCAAGTCCCCATTGGGGGAGATGATGGCAGGGTATAAATAAAATTTATTATATTATTATTATATCCCAAACGTATTTTATATCAAGTTTCTTTGGGTGCCTGGGAATATGTCTAAGGTTGTACACCAGTTTTTGTGTATATATGTGAGTCTTCTCCCCTCTATAAGGGATGTGGGGCCATTGTGTTCTTTGAATGGGCACTGCCTATGGCCTGGTAAACCTGCCAGTTTAATCCTCCCAGGAATGTTTGGGGTTGGGCTGGGGCTGAGACCCAGCTAAAATCCTATGTAACACGATTTTTGTTCCTGGGTTATACATTTCATTTCCTAATTGGCTCTATCTTGAAAACATGAAAAAGGTTTATTGAGCTGCAAAAACTTTGTTTTAGTAGGACCTCCTGCTGCACATTTTGCTCTAGTTTTTCAACCAATTCAGTATAGTTTGTGGCAGCCACAAAAACAAAATTTCCCAAATAGAACAACTACTTTCAAAGTGAGCACTGCACAATTGAACAGGAAATAATACTTTCAAACCAGGAACAGATTTTTTTTCCAAATTTTGTTACATAGTGTTATTGATTTCTTGATAACAATACGATTGCGCTGAGAACCTCATGGTTTTGCTGCCTGTCACCGTCTATTTGGCTTCTTCTCTCCTAGATGCTGGTGTTCCTCTTTTATGGCCTGCCGTATTTCTGCATCTGTATCTATGGGTTACTGTTCCCTGGTTCAACATGGATGCCGGATTGTGCTTTGGTTTGCGCCGGTGCCATTGCCCAGGTGAGGTTGCCAAATCTTCTAAAATTATTGACTTTGCTGGCCTTGCCTTGATTTCTAGAGACTATATTCCTGTTTATTTATTTATTTGTTTGTTGTGTCAGGAGTGACTTGAGAAACTGCAAGTTGCTTCTGGTGTGAGAGAAAAGGCTCTCTGCAAGGACGTTGCCCATAGGACACCTGGATGATTTGACGTTTTTATCATCCTTGTGGGAGGCTTCTCTCATGTCCCCGCATGCAGCTTAGAATCATATTGGCTTTTTAAGTTGCTGCATCACTCTGTTGCCTCGCGTTCAGCTTGTGGTCCACTAAGACTCCTAGATCCCTTTCACATGGATTGTTTCCAAGCCAAATCTCCAAACATTAACCTAGAATCATATTGGCCTTTTTAGCTGCATCATTACACTCTTGACTCACATTCAGCTTGTCATTCACTAAGACTCCTAGATCCCTTTTGCATGAGTTATTTCAAATCCAGATGTCCAAACTTGAACCTAGAATCGCATTGGCCTTTTCCACTGCCGCATTACTGTTTCCAAGCCAGGTCGGCATGTAATTCGTAACTCCCAAATTACCGCTACTGTAACACTGCACTTGTATGGAATGTTCCAAAGCAAACAAAATCAACACGATCAATCATCAGCAAAGTCTATATCAGCAGCTTGCTCATTAGCAGAGTAAAATCCTGTGAGGCTTCTCAACCTTATCTTTTAATGAGACACCAGATATTTCTGTTTCATCCAGAATACTTTGAAGGCTTTATTTCAGTGACCACATCTTCAGAAAGAAGAATTTTTCATATATGCAGTAAACCACATGGAGGGCATTTCTAACTAATACAGCTTACCTGACTGACAGTGAAGTCAATGGGAACTTTTGGAGGGTCGACTCCAAGGGGAGAGGACCCTTAGTTCCCACCAAAGAGGGAACGCTACTTTGGCGAGCCTTCAGAGAAGCCTGATTCCAGCAATTTTATTAATATTAAAAATTGAAATGAGACTCTTGCCAAAGCGAAGAAGAGGCATCGAGGTTTAATGAGCGATTCAGCTGAAGCGGATGCAATGCAGTGATAGCTCACATGCAAGGCATACCAGTACAGAGATCAGAGGCATTTTTATAGGAATTTCCAGGTTTGAAAGTTCCAAAACTCCCGCCCTCTGCCCTCCGCCCGGCTTGCAGGTGATTGGCTGATGGGATTCCAGCTGGGAGGAGGCACAGCCACCCTCCCTGCATCAGGGCCAATCACAGAGCTCCTCCGCTGCACAGGAGCCAATGGGAGAGCTTTCCCTGCTTCAGCACCTTGACAAATCAGTAGGGAGGCGGGATGAAAACAGAAACAATGAGCTGGCAAATGAATCAATGGGTGCGATGCCCAGTCTATTGTCCTTGAGTGGAGTTGCGATGGTCCTTGATTACTTTCATTCTGGCCTTCCTGCCACAATCAGATAAGGCACAAAAGGGGAGGCTGGGGAAATGTCCGGTTTTGAATGAAGTAAACAAAATTGGGAAGGCGGCTCCCTGAGGGGCGTCTAGCTCCTATTGTGAAATGGTCAAAAGTCTGCAGAAAGAGATCCCAGTCTGATGGCCTCAATCCTGGAGCCACATAAGGATTCCAGATCTTATTGTCCTTGCCAGAGTTCTGGGATATGAGTTTCTTTTGTTGCCCCTGATTGCCCTTTCAATAGCTGGCTGCTTCCTGGATTGATTTACCCAAGGGGAGGGGGAAGGAGTGATAGGTTTGGGTGTCAGGGCAAGAATAAGGAAAATACATGGGGGAATACAGAAATCCACAGAAATTCATATCAAATATCTCCTTCCCCATCCCACCTGCCAAAGAAATTTAATAAAGAAATTATTTTCAAGCAATATGAGTCCATAGTTCATTTTGAGGGAAGTTCATGAGCGGGAAAGATGTCCTTGTGAGTCCAAAACATTAGGCAGAGCTCTTAAAGCCCAAAAGGAAAGTCTGTTGATTTCCCACTGAGCCATTGGGTGGAATTCTGCCACGCTGGGATCGAAGCTGGTCCTTGGGAAACTACAACTCTCATGAAGGGCAGAAGTCCCAAGATCCAGCCGTTCCCCAAAAGCCTCGTGGGGTCCTTGTTGTTGTTAGTGCCTTTGGCAATGTGACCAAGACTTAACCCCTACTGTGCAGTCTGGTGCCCTTGCCCTTTGCAGAACTATAAGTCACTATCCCTTATTTGGGGGGGGGGGGGGTGCTCGACTACAACAGTGTCACCCATCCTATCTCTATCTCTCTCTTGTTTTGCAGGCCCAGTTTGCCCACATTGGGGGTTCCCTCCACCCGCGCACTCCTTTTCCCTATCGCATGCCGGAAACGGCTTGGTGGACGGCTCTGCTCTCCAATGTTATCTATGCCTTGGGGCCTCACCTTCTGGCCTACCGCTGCCTAAAGAACCCGGCCTTCTTCGGCCGTGCCGTTTCCTCAGTCGAAGACAAGAAGACTCAATGACCTTATTCTTTGATGGTTGATGTCTTTGCCAAAGGTTCCAGGACCACTCCACAGCAGATTTGAAACTGGTTGAAAGGTGGAGAGGGAAGTGCCAACATTGTCGTTTTGGCATTGTGGGTTTTCTCAGTGAAATTTGTTCCACTTTGCCTTCCTAAGTGTGACTCAACCAGACCGAGCCAAGATTTGAACCCAGGTCTACGAGTCCGACCTTCCAACTTCTACATCACACTGTCTTGCCACAAAACATGCATCAATTTCCTGCTCTCAGGTTCATAATCAACCTGCTAAGAACTGAATTATTGCCTGCGTTGTGTCATCATAAAAGACTTCTTTCTCCCTTCTCCAGGTCACTTTCATCTTTGCCCAGCCCTCTTTTAGAATGTCTCAATGGCAACGTTCTAGCCCTCTTCCATTCTTCTGACATAGCCTTTCCGTCTCTATACTGACATCTTGTGGTTGTGTCTGATACATAAATGCCCATCGGTTTTGGTGGCCTATCTCCAAACAGGGTTGATTGTTTAGTGGAAACCCCTCCATCATTATTTAAGTTGAATCACAAAGGATATATACATACCAATTTGGTCCAAATCCCTGAAGTAATTTCGGAGCCTTTGCGGAACATACATACACACATCCAATATAAGGGGGTGGGAATAATTTTGCAAATTTTAGTGGAAAATCTGCGATCATTATTTAGGTTAAATTACGAAGGATATATATCTATGCACCACATTTAGTCCAGATCCATCAAGTTATTTCGGAGCCTTTGCGGAACAAACAAACATACATACACACACTTTATATATATGTTGTACGGGAATTGAAACAAATACGATCAGGCAAAGAGAAAGAAGCCTTTTGGGACAGTTGTACAAGCCACTGTTTTATTTAAATAAGAAAATATATTAAAACCAGTTTATATATGAGTTTTTGAAATGGGTTGTGTCTTATTTATTTATTTATTTATTTGCTTTATTTCTATACCGCATTTTTCAGCCCAATCAGGCGACTCAATGCGGTTTACACAATACAGATTATCACAACAATGTCATAAGCAATTAAAAACACATCATACACAACAGACAAATCAAAGCAATTATTATCATATCATAACGCCTCAATTAAAATCAGAATCCGTTCTCATAATCCTTGTGCCATTCCTATGTTCGATTTTGCCGTCTTCCTATGTTCAGTTGCACTGTTTAGCCGAACGCTTGTTCATAGAGCCAAGTCTTAACCTTCCTCCGGAACGCCAACAGCGAAGGGGCCTGTCTGATGTCTACAGGTAAGGCATTCCATAGCCGAGGGGCCACCACCGAGAAGGCCCTGTCCCTTGTCCCCGCCAAACGCGCCTGTGACGCAGGCGGGACCGAGAGCAGGGCCTCCCCAGACGATCTTAATGTCCTGGTCGGTTCATAGGTGGAGATGCGTTCGGAGAGGTAAGTAGGGCCAGAACCGTTTAGGGCTTTATAGGCTAACGCCAGCACCTTGAATTGTGCCCGGTAGCAGATTGGCAGCCAGTGGAGCTGGCTCAACAGAGGAGTGGTATGCTCCCTGAGTGCCGCTCCCGTTAGCAACCTGGCTGCCGAGCGCTGGACCATCTGAAGCTTCCGGGCAGTCTTCAAGGGCAACCCCACGTAGAGCGCGTTGCAGTAATCTATACGGGAGGTAACCAGAGCGTGGACTACCGTGGCCAAGTCAAACTTCCCAAGGTACGGGCGCAGCTGGCGCACAAGTTTTAATTGTGCAAATGCTCCCCTGAGTTGTGCCTTCGTCTAGACGGGATTTGGAAGCATCTGTTGTTCCAAACAAGGTCCGAAAAGCAATGTCTGGGGATAAGATCAGTCCAAGCTGCAATCAAAATGACCGAGATGTCATTTTACAGTCCTACACAGCATAAATTGGAAAATAAAGTCCCAGAAATGGACTGGTTTATTCTATTTAGAGTGATAATAAAAAGAGCTTGGATGGGCACGGGACCAAAGAGGGTTGGACTGGATGGCCTTTAAGGTTCCCTTCCCATTCTGTGACTCTCTAGAGCACCCCTCCTCTTTCTGCATTTTCTTGGCCGGCTTTGAATAATCCTGCTGCAGCTCTGTCCTGCATTGCAGTTCCTGCAATGACCTTCTCAATGAAAATACGGAAATATGGATCCAAATGGGGCATCTCAAAGGGCCTTTCCAGGCTATTCAAGCCCTTTTATCAATGATGTGAAGGGTGGAATAGAAGGCATGTATGTCACTGGGAGAAGAGCAAATACTCCAGAGGGGAATAATAATAACAACAAAAACAACAATAACAATAGATACATAGCTACTTTGAGCTTCCTGCAGGAGAGATGAAGCAGGGTATAAATAAATATTATTATTATTAAATAATAATGTATTATTATTATTATGAAATAATAATAATTTAATATAATTGTAATTATTAAATTGTAATTTAACGATATTATTATTTTAAAATATTATTAAATATAATAATAGGATCATTATTTAATAAAATTAGGAAATATTATCAAATTATAATATTATCATTCGTAAATTGGTATTTTATTATTAAATAGTAATATTATTAAATATAATAATAATAAAATATTAAACATAATAATGAAATTGTAATTTTATAATTTTATGAAATATTATTAAATTATGATAAATTTGTATTGTCGAAGGCTTTCATGGCCGAAATCACTGGGTTGTTGTAGGTTTTTTCGGGCTATATGGCCATGTTCTAGAGGCATTCTCTCCTGACGTTTCGCCTGCATCTATGGCAAGCATCCTCAGAGGTAGTGAGGATGCTTGCCATAGATGCAGGCAAAATGTCAGGAGAGAATGCCTCTAAACCAGTGGTTCTCAACCTCGGGTCCTCAGATGTTTTTGGCCTCCAACTCCCAGAAATCCTAACAGCTGGTGAAATGGCTGGGATTTCTGGGAGTTGTAGGCCAAAAACATCTGGGGACTCCAGGTTGAGAACCACTGCTCTAGACCATGGCCATATAGCCCGAAAAAACCTACAACAACCCTATGATAAATTTCATTATTGTTAAATAGTTATATTATTATTAAATAATAATAGTTATTAAAATAATAGTTGTTGTTGTTGTTCATTCGTTCAGTCGTCTCCGACTCTTCGTGACCTCATGGACCAGCCCACGCCAGAGCTCCCTGTCGGCCGTTACCACCCCCAGCTCCCTCAAGGTCAGTCCAGTCACTTCAAGGATGCCATCCATCCATCTTGCCCTTGGTCGGCCCCTCTTCCTTTTGCCTTCCACTTTCCCCAGCATAGTTGTCTTCTCTAGGCTTTCCTGTCTCCTCATGATGTGGCCAAAGTACTTCAACTTTGTCTCTAGTATCTTTCCCTCCAGTGAGCAGCCGGGCTTTATTTCCTGGAGGATGGACTGGTTGGATCTTCTCGCAGTCCAAGGCACTCTCAGAACTTTCCTCCAACACCACAGCTCAAAAGCATCGATCTTCCTTCGCTCAGCCTTCCCTAAGGTCCAGCTCTCACATCCGTAGGTGACTACAGGGAATACCATGGCTTTGACTAGGCGGATCTTTGTTGCCAGTCTGATGTCTCTACTCTTTACTATTTTATCGAGATTGGACATTGCTCTCCTCCCAAGAAGTAAGCGTCTTCTGATTTCCTGGCCACAATCTGCATCTGCAGTAATCTTTGCACCTAGAAATACAAAGTCTGTCACGGCCTCCACGGTTTCTCCCTCTATTTTCCAGTTGTCAATCATTCTTGTTGCCATAATCTTGGTTTTTTGACGTTTAGCTGCAACCTGGCTTTTGCGCTTTCTTCTTTCACCTTGATTAGAAGGCTCCTCAGCTCCTCCTCGCTTTCGGCCATCAGAGTGGTGTCATCTGCATATCTGAGGTTGTTAATGTTTCTTCCAGCAATTTTCACCCCAGCTTTACATTCATCCAGCCCCGCACATCGCATGATGTGTTCTGCATACAAGTTAAAAAGGTTGGGTGAGAGGATGCAGCCTTGCCGTACGCCTTTCCCAATCTTGAACCAGTCTGTTGTTCCATGGTCAGTTCTGACTGTTGCTACTTGGTCCTTGTACAGATTCCTCAGGAGAGAGACAAGGTGGCTTGGTATGCCCATCCCACTAAGAACTTGCCACAATTTATTATGATCCACACAGTCAAAGGCTTTAGAATAGTCAATGAAGCAGAAGTAGATGTTTTTCTGAAACTCCCTGCCTTTCTCCATTATCCAGCGGATATTGGCAATTTGGTCTCTCGTTCCTCTACCTTTTCTAAACCCAGCTTGAACAGCTGGCAACTCTCGCTCCATGTATTGCTGGAGTCTTCCTTGCAGGATCTTGAGCATTACCTTACTGGCATGAGAAATAAGGGCCACTGTACGGAAGTTTGAGCAGTCTTTCGCATTTCCCTTTTTTGGTATGGGGATATAAGTTGATTTTTTCCAGTCTGATGGCCATTCTTGTGTTTTCCATATTTGCTGGCAGATGGCATGCATCACCTTGACAGCATCATCTTTTAAGATTTTAAACAGTTCAGCTGGGATCCCGTCGTCTCCTGCTGCCTTGTTGTTAGCAATGCTTCTTAAGGCCCATTCAACCTCACTCCTCAGGATGTCTGGTTCTAATTCATTCACCACACTGTCAAAACTATCCTCAATATTATTATCCTTCCTATACAGATCTTCTGTATAGTCTCGCCACCTTCTCTTGATCTCTTCAGCTTCTGTTAGGTCCCTGCCATCTTTGTTTCTTATCATACCAATTTTTGCTTGAAATTTACCTCCAATGTTTCTAATTTTCTGGAAGAGGTCTTATTATGTTACTTATTATATTATTATTTAATAATATTAAATATAAATAAATTATAATAAATATTATTATCAAATTATTATTTTATCAGTATTATCAAATAATAATAGTTATTAAATATAATAATAAAATAATTAAATTATAATACATTTGATTATTGTTAAATTATTATTTTTATTATGAAATAATAGTTATTAAATATAATAAATATTAATAACAAATCATTATTTTATTTACACATGATTATTATTAAATTATTGTTTCACAATTATTATGAAATAATAACAGTGATTAAATATTAGTAGTAGTAGCCAGAAGGGGCTGGGCTGGATGACCTTTGAGAGAGCCCCTTAGTTCCTAAATCTAATAATAATAATAATAATAATAATAATAATAATAAATATTAAATTATAAATATGATTAATATTAAATTAGTAGTTTATTATTATTAAATAATAACGTACTAAACATTATTACAAAATATTTAATAATATTAAATTATAATAAATAGTTATTAAATTTTTTTAGTTAAATGATTATTTAGTAATATTATTAAATATTATCAAATCATAATATGCATGATGATTATTAAACTATGTCATCATTTTTATTAAATAATAATAGTTATTACATAAAATACTAATAAAATTATAATTGAATAATAAACATGATTATATTATTATAATTATTATGGTTGAAAGGGGCTGGGCTGGATGGCCTTTAAAGGGCCCCTTACTTACTAAATATAATAATATATTTTTTTGTCGTGTCAGGAACGACTTTAGAAAATGCAAGTCGTTTCTGGTGTGAGAGAATTGGCCGTCTGCAAGGACGTTGGCCAGGGGACACCAGGATGTTTTTGATCTTTTACCATCCTTGTGGGAGGCTTCTCTCATGTCCCCGCAATGAGGAGCTGGAGCTGACAGAGGGAGCTCATCTGTGCTCTCCCCGGATTTGAACCTGCGACCTGTGGGTCTTCAGTCCTGCCGGCAGAGGGGTTTAACCCTCTTCGCCACCAGGGGCTCCTTCATTAATAATAATAATAAACATTATCAAATTATAATAAATATCATTATTAAATTATATTATATTATTATTACATAATAGTTATTAATTAGTGATGATGATTATTATTATGGCTGAAAGGTGCTGGGCTGGATAGCCTTTGGAGGACCCTTTAGTTACTAAATATAATAATAATTTAACATTAATGAATTATAATTAATATCATTATTACATTATACTATTGTTACATATTAGTTATTAAATATTCTTATTCTTCTTATTACTATTATGGCTGAAAGGGGCTGGGCAGAATGGCTTTTAGAGGGCCCCTTAGTTACTAAATACAATAAATAATAATAATAATACATTATTGAATTATAATAAATATCATTATTAAATTATATTATTACTATTACATATTAGTTACTAATTAGTGATGATGATGATGACGATGATGATGATGGCTGAAAGGGGCTGGGCTGGATGGCCTTTAGAGGGCCCCTTAGTTAAATACAATAATAATAATAATAATAATAATAATAATAACACATTATTGAATTATAATAAATATCATTATTAAGTTATATTATTACTATTACATATTCGTTATTAATTAGTGATGATGATGATGATGATGGCTGAAAGGGGCTGGGCTGGATAGCCTTTGGAGGGCCCCTCCCAATTCTATGCCCAGTTCCCCTTTAAAAACTTTGATTCCCCGACCCTCCCCTCCTTCCCATCCCATTGCATTGCAGGCAGCTCCAATGCAGCATCCGCATCCTTCTCTCTCTGCCCAACTTTCCCTCTCTCTGTCTTTCTCTCTTTGGCAGCAGCTTCTTCATCCCTCGCTTTGCTGACTTTGCTGACGAAGGATTCCCAGTCCAAGAAAGCAAAGCGAGCAGTGAGGAAATCTGCAAGCCGGCTTCTCTTTCTTCCCTGCCTCCAACTTCGGCCCGCTTTCTGCAATCTGGCTCTTTTGGATCTTTCAAGGTGAGTCGCCTTTGCATTCGGGGTTCATTCACCTTGGCGGCCTTGCTGCAAGGCATGAATGGGATGCTGCTTCCCGAGCATCCTTTGGGTACCACTTTCCCCTTCTCCACTTACAGGCAAGAGTTTCCTTCTGCTGACCTCCAGCCAATGGGAGGGAGGAAAAAATATATCTAAATATAGGAGGGGAAAATATTAACATTACATATATTACTATTATTATTGAATGATAATGATGATTTGGCCTGCTTTCCTCTCTCTTAAAGGGGACTCTAACAACAACCCTGCGAGGCAGGCCGGGCGATATGTGCAATAAATCTCCCAAACGGCTTTAAAGAGTTTTTAATAGAAGGACTTCCTCCATTATCGAAAACTGGGTCAAGTCATTTGTCCTCCAAGCTTCAAATTATGATAATTTCACTACTTTCCCAGCATGCGTCAGGAAAAAAAGGCCTTTTGCTCAGTCTAATTTTTAAAGCAGATTTATATTCCTTGATCTCCATCCATTCGTTCATCCTTCCTTTCCTTCCTTTCCTCTTTCCTTCCTTCCTTTCTTTTTTCCTTCCTTCTTTTTTCCTTCTCTTCCCTCCCTCTATTCCTTCCTTCCCTTCTTCCTTTCTTTGCTCTTTCCTTCCTTTCTTCACTCTTTCATACCTTCCTTTCTTCCCTTTTTCTTCCTTCCCTTCCTTTCCTCCTTCTTCCTTTCCTTCCTTCTTCCTTCCTTCCTTTCCTTCCTTCCATCCCCTCCTTCTTTACTTTCTTCCCTCTTTCATTCTTCCTTCCCTCTTTCCTTCTCTCCTTCATTCTCTCCTTCCTTCCTTCTTTCCTTCTTTTTTCTCCTTCCTTCCCTCCTTCCTTCCTTCCCTCCTTCCTTCCTTCCCTTCTTACTTATGTCCCTCTTTTCTTCCTTTCTTCCCTCTTTCATTCTTTCCTTCCTTCCTTCCCTCTTTCTTGCTTGCTTTCTTTCCTTTCCTTCTTTCTTTCCTTCCTTCCTTCTTTCCTTCCTTCCTTCCTTCCCTTCTTACTCCCTTACCTCTTTCATTTCTTTCTTCCCTTTTTCTTCCCTCTCTTTTTTCCTTCCCTTCTTACTCTCTCTCCTCTTTCCTTCCTTTCTTCTTCCTTCCTTCCTTCCTTCCTTCCTTCCTTCCTTCCTTCCTTCTTTCCTTCCTTCATTCCCTTCTTACTTACTTTCCCCTTTCCTTCTTTTCTTCCCTCTTTCATTCCTTCCTTCCTTTCTTCCCTCTTTCTTTCTTTCCTTCTTTCCCTCCTTTTTTACTTTCTTTCTTCCTTTCCTCCTTCCTTCTTCCTTCTCCCTTCCTTCCTCTTCTTTCTTTCTTTCCTTTCTTCTTTTCTTCTTTTCTTTCTTTCTTTCTTTCTTTCCATCTTTCCTTCCTTCCTTCTTCCTTCCATCTTTCCTTCCTTCCCTCTTTCTGTGAATGTATATCTTTTCTTTCTGTCTTTCCTTCCCTCCTTCTGTGTATTTCCATTCATTTATAGACTTCCTTGTTCCCTTTTTCATTCCTTCCTTCTCTACATATATTTCCTCCATTCGCTATTAACGTTTCCTTCCCTCCCTTATTTCCTTCTTTATGAATATAGCCCTCTTGTTTCCTTCCGTTATTCCTACATATAAAGGAAGGAAAGAGGACTATATAGAGTATCTATCTTTCCTTCTTTCCTTCCTTCCCTATGAATATTTCCATATATATATATATATATATATATATATATATATAAAATCTCCACACTTCCTTCCTTTACATCTATCCCCTCTCTCCCTTCTTTCTCTTTAACCCATTTAATCTAATCTCAACTGCATCTTCAGAACAGTTTTATTTTAAACTAGCTTGGGTACTCGACATTTCATGGGTTATTTGAAAAAGTCAGTTTTTTTATTGTACAAAATACATCAGGTTGTGGGTGAACTACAACTCACATCATGCCAGGTTAACCCTGAAAAACCCCATCAGTCCTTAAAAAGCTTGTCATGTTGGGCAAGTTTGCTCTGGATGCAACATGAGTGGGGTTCAGTGTGCTCTCCGGCTGTAGGGTAAACTACAACTCCCACTATGGTGAGTCAGTCCCCTCAAAGCCCTCCAGTAGGTTGAGTTACTGAGTTACTCATGAGGGGTTTTGTGTGCCAAGTTTGGTACAGGTCCATCATCAATGGAGGTCACAGTTTCCCTGGTTGTGGGTAGACTACAACCAGGGGCGGCTCAACCCATTACGCAAAGTAAGCCTTTGCGGTATAGTTGATTTTGCCCAAGGGCGCTCTTGAGGTGCTCTTGGGGGAAAATAGACCTTGACATATGCGAGTTGTGGTTACTGGGATGTATAGTTCACCTACAATCAAAGAGCATTCTGAACTCCACCAATGATGGAATTGCACCAAATATGGCACACAGAACTCCCACAATGAACAGAAAATATATATTAGTGATTGGTTGGGGGGGGGGGGGGCGCAAAATACTGTTTGCTTACTGTTGAAACTTAACTAGGGCCACCTCTGACTACAACTCCCAGAAATGAAGCCCAGTTCCCCCCAAACCCCTCCAGTAATCAAATTTGGGCATATCAGGTATACATGCCAAGTTTGGTCCAGATCCATCGGTGTTTGGGTTCACAGTGCTCTCTGAATATAGGTGAACTACAACTCCTTTAAATCCCTCCAAAGACCTCCAGTATTTTTCTTGGTCATGGGGGCTCTGTGTGCCAAGTTAGTTCCAGGTCCATTGCTAGTGGAGTTCAGAGTGCTCTTCGATTACAGGTGAAGTGTACATCCCAGGACCTACAACTCCTAGATATCATGGTGAATTCTCCTCCAACCTCTCCAGTATGTTCAGTTGCTGATCAAATCCTCTGTTTGTTGTGTGCCATAAAAAAGAATAGGAAAGGGTTATGGGAGAGGCAGTGGATGGAGTCATGCAAATTCCACACCAATGGAGAGAGTCAGAAACACCGGGATGTCTGTGGTGGAGGAAACACAAAAATAGGATGAAATGGTCCTTATATGAAAGCCTTCACTTGGGTGGTGGGCAGTGTGGTTTTTGTGGAGGACATTGGCAGGGCTTGTGGTCATGTTCCTGTCGCTCACTATAACCTGCAATGTCATTGGAGGGAGGGCCTTTGGTGTCTTCTGAGTCGTGGAACTTAGAGCTGTTTGTGGAGATGGGAGTTTATTATGAGTTTTGTTATGCTTTTAGATTTTGTGCATTTCATTTACTGGATTTTTAATACGTATCCCCATTCTCTCCTAGATGGTTCCTGCCAATGTTTCCCTCCATTTATATATTCTTGTCATCTTCATTCTGAGCTGCTTACCGGCATTGTCCCAAAAAGGACGGAAGAAAGTTGTGCACGTTTCCGGTACGTCGGGTGCATCTACACTGCTGAATTAATGCAGTTCGATACCACTGTAACAGCTATGGCTATTACTGTTGAGAGTTGTACTTTGGTGGGACTCCAGCAGAGAAGGCTTAGTAAAAAGGTCAACTATACTTTTTGGAAATTCTCATTCATTTTGCAATACTCACAGACCGACAGCAGGGGGAGTTCTTGCAATGGGAATTCTGGGCTCGCTTGCCCTGGATTCAATCCCTGATGTAATGCTGCAATTTTGTTTTCTCTGTGCGATTTGCTATGTGCAAATATTATTAACCGTGGCCTATAAACCAGATTCCAAACTGAAAGATAGAAGGATTTAGTCTTTGGATTCTTTCCGTGCTTGGATATTTTCTGGGCTGCAATTCTGCTTTCTGCCTGAAGAGGGCACTCCAAAATGCACTCGGAAAATGGTCAAACTCTGCACTCTATCTATCTATCTATCTATCTATCTATCTATCTATCTATCTAGTTGCTTATGTACCCCACATTTTCCGGGTATGCATATTTATTAGAAATACTGAGCAGTTGGGAACATAGACTAATATTTTATCAAAGTTTCTCCACACAGATTGGCTCTTGTTCTCTTATCCATGCATGAAAGAATACACTAGTTGGAACACAGTATTCTATACACTGCCCTCTTGTGGCTGCACCTGAGCATTGCATACATGCAGTCCCATTTTTTTTTCATTTTGGGACCCTATTCCAAAACAGGGTTGATTTTTCAACCAAAATTACATCTGTATTTTAATTTAGATCATGATGGATCTGGCCAACTTTGGTCCAGGTCCATCAAACCACGGAGGAGCCTTTGCAGAACAAACTTACATACAGACACACATATTTTTCAGCTGAATCCACACTGGTATTTTAATTGAGATCATGATGGGTTTATCCGTTCCAAGTTTGGTTCAGATCCATCAAGCCATGTAGGATCCATTGCAGAACAAGCACACGTATTTTTCAGCTGAACTCACACCAATAATTTAGATTATATCATGATGGGTTTATGCATGTTGAGTTTGGTCCAGATCCATCAAGCCATGGAGGAGCCTTTGCGGAACAAACTTCCGTACACACACACATATTTTTCAGCCGAACCCTCACTGGTGTTTTAATTTAGATTATGATGGATTTATGCTTGCCAAGTATGGTCCAGATCCATCAAGCCATGGAGGGAGCCTTTGCAGAACAAACTTACGCACACACATACATATTTTCACACATATGCATAAATGAATCCTGACACGGTAATGTCTCGTTCTTTCTCATGCAGAGGATGACAGCGGTGCCGTCATTGTCCAAACGGCACCAGGCAAAGTGGTCACCCATCGGGGAGGCACCATCATCCTCCCGTGCCGCTTCCACTATGATGCCTCAGCCCATGACCCAGATGAGATCCGCTTGAAGTGGACCAAGATCTCAGATCCACTCTCCTTTGAGGACGTCTTTGTGGCCCTGGGACAGGAGCGCCGGGCATTTGGGGGCTACCGTGGCCGGACAGCGCTGCAAGGGGACGGGCCCGGAGATGCCTCGCTGGTCATTCAGAATGTCACCCTTCAAGACTACGGCCGCTACGAGTGCGAGGTGACCAACGAGTTGGAGGACGATGTGGGGATGGTCAAGCTGGACTTGCAAGGTAAGGTGGAAGATGGCTAGAGGGATGGATTTCCTGGTATTTTGGATGGGATTTCTGCACATGATATCATACTCCAATGGGATGGTATCCAGCTTAAGTATCCCTTACTAATGATCTATCAGCATGTGACTATATAAGGAGGGTGAAATAATCCATCTTTCTCTCTCCTGTGTGACTCAGTGTGAGTATCTGCCTGTTTTCAAAGCTGATCAGAAGGGATTTCAATCGGATATCCATCCCACTCAACAATATTTCAATGGAGTGGGTATTAAGTTTATATCCTCTTGGTTTCTCACTCTATAGGATTTTTGCACAGAAAATAGTCGGCACAAGAAATAATATTTTGATGTGAGAGATATTAATTTCATATCTTCTTGGTTCCAGAATCTTCCAGGTAGGATTTCTGTGTTGTAAATAATATTTCAATAGGATGGTTATCAAGTTCATATTCTCTTGATTCCATAGCCTATAATAATTCAATGGGATGGATATCAATATCAAGCCCACATCTTGGTTTCATGATCTTTCAGATGGGATTTCAATGGGATGTCCATCCCATTAAATCATATTTTAATGGGATGAATATTTAGTTTATATCCTCTTGGTTTCTCAGGCTAACTGATGGGATTTCTGTGCAGAAAACTGGTTTGGTTTCATGATTTTCCAGGTGGGATTTCTGCACAGGAAATAATATTTCAGTGGGATGAATATCCTATTTCTATTATCTTCGTTTCATGGTCTTCTAGGTGGGATTTCTGTGTAGGAAATAATATTTCAATGGGATCGATATCCAGCTTAATATTTCAATGGGATGGATAACCAGGTTAAGTGTCCCTTACTGATGATGTATAGCAGGTGGCTATATAAGGAGGATGAAAGAATCCATCTTTCTCTCTTCCGTGTGACTCAGTGCAAGTATCCGCCTGTTTTCACAGCTGACCAGTAGGGATTTCAATCAGGTATCCATCCCGCCGAATAATATTTCAATGGGATAGATAGTTTATATCCTCTTGATTTCTCAGTCTACCAGGTGGGATTTTTGCACAAGAAACACCATTTCAATGAGATGAATATCCAGTTCATATTCTCTTGATTTCATGGTCTTCTAAGTTGGATTTCTGCATAGTAAATAAGGCATTTCAATAGGATGGATATCAAGTTCACCGGCTTTCAGGTGGGGTTTCTGCACAGGAAATAATCTCTCAGTGGGATGGATATTATATCCTCTTGGTTTCACAGGATGCATCTACACTGTATAATCAATGTAGTCTGGCACCACTTGAACGGCCATAGCTCATGCTGTAATTTGGCGATGAAAGTGGTATCAAATGATATTCTTTCCTAACCCAGATCTGTACACTAAATCTTTTTTTTAAATGGTATCTTCTGTTATTGTAAGACTTAGGACTCGAAAACACATGGGGAACTTTTACAAAAAAAACAAAAAACTTGAAATGTTGGCAGAAGTAAAAAAAAAAAAGCCTCGGCAGAGAATATAACTCATTCTGCCCAACGGAGCTGTTAAAAATGACGGGGCTGTTCCTCCCAGCGTTCCCTCTCCTTGGGATGTTTTACGCATCTCTACGGCCACCATCCGTCTTCCCCGTTTTATTAGCTCCTGACACCAAAACCTGCAGCCGCAATAAAAGTCAATAAAAGCAGCAATAAAGCACCCAAGACACTCTTCAAAACCATGGCGGCGGGGGGGGGGGGGGTTGGAAAGAAGGTTCCTCCAAGGGTTTTCTTTGCCAAGGAAGACTCAGAGGTGCTTCTTCTTGAAATATCACAGAATATTACTTAGCGGTCTCCCATCCAAATACTAACTGGGGTTAATCCAATTTAGCATCCCAAGATGAGGCCGGAATTGGTGCCTTTTGGGTAGCTGCTTTGAATCTCTTTTGTAGATGTAGATGTAGATATAGATGTTGATCTACATCAACATCAACATCTACAGCTACAGATACCAACATCTACATCTAAATCTACATCTTCATCTACGTCTACTAATATATAATAATCAACATCTACATCATCTTCATCCACATCTACATCTACATCAATGTCTTTGTTTTTGTCTTCGTCGTCTATGTCTACGTCTACATGTACATCAGCATCATCTTCAACTTCATCTACATCATCATCTCCATCTCCATCTACATGTACATCAACGTCTTCATCTACATCTACATCTTTATCTTCCTCATCCTCATCCACATCTACATCTACATCTTCATCTACCTCTTCCTCTTCCTCTATCTTCTAATATATAATAATCAACATCAACATCTTCACCTTTGTCCTCATCTTCATCTACATATTAGTCTTTGTCTTCACCTTCATCTATGTCTAGGTCTACGTCTTCATCTAGATCTTCATCTTCATCTACATCTTCATCTTCCCTTACCCCTACCCCTATAATGTATGGCTAGGTGAAACGAATCCAATGCCTTCATTTGGCATTCAGGAACAAATGCTATCAGACCGTGAACTACAAATGCCATGAAGTTCAACCTTTGAGATATAAATAGCAACAACAACAACAACAACAACAACAACAACCACCACCTTTGGAAACCAGGTGATTCCCCTTGAGACGATGACTCTCCCACCGCTCTTTTCTCTCTTTAGGGGTGATCTTCCCTTACCACCCTCGCTTGGGGCGCTACTCCCTCAATTTCCATGATGCTCAGAAAGCTTGTTTGGAGCAAGATGGGATTCTGGCCTCTTACGACCAATTGCATGAAGCCTGGTTGGAAGGCATGGATTGGTGCAACGCCGGGTGGCTGGAGGATGGCTCTGTGCAATACCCCATCGCCAAGCCACGGGATGAGTGCGGGCGCAAAGACACCCCAGTTGGAGTGAGAAATTATGGCTACCGGCACAAAGAGGATGACCGCTATGATGCCTTTTGCTTCACTTCCAACCTGAATGGTAGGTTGCAGAGGGTGCGGACCCTATCAGAAGGGGGTGACACCAACATAACAAAAATCTACATTTGTTTGTATGGCAAAGGCTCTTACGTGGTTGATGGATCTGGACCAAATATAGTACATATATGCTTTTCATGGTACAACTTAAATACTGGATAGATTTCAACTCACAAATCCACCCCATTTGGGAATAGGGCCCCCAAAAGGAATACAAAAGTTCTCAGATGCAACCACAAGAGGGCAGTGTATAGATAGAAAGGCTACCTCCAAGGGAGAAATGACACAAGACAGAAAACTATGGAAAATCTAAAATATGTATGTATGTTTGTTCCTCAAAGTCTCCTACATGGCTTGATGGATCTTGACCAAATGTATATACTCTTCATGGTCCAACTTAAAATACTGGGTAGGTTTGAATTTGGGAATAGGGCCCCCAAAACAAATACATCTATATGTATATATGCAGTGTTCAGATGCAACCACAAGAAGGCAGTATAAAGATAGAAAGGCTATTTGGGAGAGATGATGAATGGAACACACTCTAGCATTTTGCCATAGCAATTAAAGTGGTATCAAATTGTATTAATTCATTAGTGTAGATGCTCCATGGATCGTGCTTCTGCACCTTATCCCCAAATGTGGAATCAGTAGGGCAAAAACAGTGCTGCCTTATCTTATGGGCCTTCAACCTGCATTTCCTGCAGCAAAATTCAATGCAAAGTCTGTGTTTTATTATCCACTGGCCACAATCGTTCATATTCTGGCTTCTTTTCTCCTCTTTTGTGGGGAAATTGAAGTCCGGCCAAAGATGGATGGATGAGCCGACAAACAGGCACTCCATTTTCGAGTAGATCGAATGCTATTTTTCCTGTCCCTGATTACACAAATGAAGCTTCCCCCCCACCACTCCAACCCTCTGAGCGAAAAGTAATTTACGTCTTGGGACAAAACCCACCGGGAACATCCATCATCATCTGCACATTTGCTGAGCTCAATTACAGCGGCCTTCAGTTTGGCTTGGCTGCTTTTGGAAGCAAAGGGACACCATTGTATCCATGGGGCCAAGGCTGGGTTCGGGGAAAGGCAGTTACTGAATTACTTCAATACCAGGCAATTATTACTATTATTGTTATTACTGTTATTTTTGTACCGTGCTTTTCTCTCTGGATCGAGGCCAGAAGAGTGGAAAGAAGCGAGGCAAAAAGGGTGGGAGTGAGGGAAGGAAATGAATGTTTTACTTATTGTTTTAATGAATGTTTTACTTATTGTTTTAATTGTTATTATATTGCTCTGTTATATGTAGTGACATTGAATTGTTGCCAAATGTAAGCCGTCCTGAGTCCCCCTTCGGGGATTGAGAAGGAACAGGATAGAAATATTGGAAATAAATTTTAAAAAGGAATAATAAAAGGAAAGAAGGAAGGCAGGAAGGAGAGAGGGGGGAGTCTAGAAAAATAAAGGGAAGGAGGGAAGGAGAAAGAAGGAAGCAGGAAAGAAAGGAAGAAGAAGGAAGAGAGGGATGGAAGAAGAAAGGTGAAAGAGAGAGAGAGAGAGAGAATAAAGAAGGAAAGGAAGAAGGGAGGGAAGGAGGGGAAGGTCAAAGGAGGAATGGAGTAGAGAGGAAGGAATTGAAGCAGGAAGGAAAAGAAGAAACAAAGCAAGGGAGGGAGGGAGGAGAAAGTAAGGAGAAAGAGTGAAGAGAAGGGAGGGAGGAGGAAGGGAGGGATGGGAGAGAAGGGAGGGAGGAAGAAAGGGAGGGAGACATAGAAGGAAGATGAAAGTGAGGAGGAGAGTGAGAGAGTGAAAAGAAGGGAGAAAAGGAGGAGAGGGATGGGAGCAGAGAGAGAAGGAAGGAGGAAAGAGAGGGAGGGACACACAGAAAGAAGGTGATTTTGAGAAGGAAGGTGAAAGTGAGGAGGAGACAGAGGGTGAAAAGAAGGGAGAGAGGGAGGAGGGAGAGAAGGAAGGTGAAAGTGTGGAGAGAGAAAGGGATGTAAGAAGGGAGAGAGGGGGGAATTGAGAGGGGCGAGAGGAGGGAAGGAGGAGGGATGGAAGGAAGGTGAAAGTGCAGAGGAGGAAGAGAGGGTGAAAAGAAGGAAGGGAAGGAGGATAAAGAGAGGATTGTAAGGAAGGAGAGAAGAAAGGAAGGAAGGTAAAAGTGAGGAGGATGAAAAGGGAAGGCTGGAGGAAGAGAGAGATGGAAGAAGGAGAGAAGGAAGGAAGGTGAAAGTGAGAAGGAGGAAAAGGGAGTGAAAAGAAGGAAGGGAAGGAGGAGGAAGAGAATGTTGGAAGGAGAGAAAAGAAAGGAAGAGGAAAGAAAGGGAAGACAGAGAGGATGGAAAGAAGAGATAGAAGGTGGGCGAGAAGGCAGGCAGGAAGGCAGGAAGGCAGGAAGGCAGGAAGGCAGGAGAAGGAAGGAAGGAAGGAAGGAGAAAGTGAGGAGGAAAGAGAGACGGTGGAAAGACAGGAGAGAGGGAGGAGAAAGAGAGGAACGGAAGGAATGAGAGAGAAGGAAGGAAAGAAGGAAGGTGAAAGTGAGGAGAGAGGTTGAAAAGAAGAGAGGGAAGGAGGAGGAGGAAGAGAGGGTGGAAGGAGGGAAAGGTGAAAGGAAGGAAGGAAGGTGAAAGTAAGGGGAGACAGAGAGGATGGAAAGAAGAGATAGAAGGTGGGCGAGAAGGCAGGCAGGAAGGAAGGAAGAAGAAAGTGAGGAAGAAAGAGAGACGGTGGAAAGACAGGAGAGAGGGAGGAGAGAGGAATGGAAGGAGAGAGAAAAGGAAGGAAAGAAGGAAGGTGAAAGTGAGGAGAGAGGTTGAAAATAAGAGAGGGAAGGAGGAGGAAGAGAGGGATAGAAGAAGGGAAAGGAGGGAGGGAGGGAGGAAGGAAAAGAAAGCCTGGCTGGACAGGCAGGTCCCACCTGTAGTGCTCTGGGAATGTAGAGAAGTCATGAATATAGCCTCCCGTCGAGCCCCTTCTTTCCTTTCTCTTCCTTGTCCTGCAGGGAAAGTCTTCTTTCTCAAGACCTACCGCAAGTTGAGCTTCCCAGAGGCGGTCCTGGCCTGCCAAAAGAGCAAGGCGGTGGTGGCCAAAGTGGGCCAGCTGTATGCCGCCTGGAAGACCCAGCTGCTGGACAAGTGCGAGGCCGGCTGGGTGGGCGATGGCAGCGTCCGGTACCCCATTGTCAACCCCCGTCCCAGGTGCGGGGGCCGCGAGCCAGGTGTCCGCACCTTGGGCTTCCCAGATAAGAAATACAAACTCTTCGGCACCTATTGCTACAAGGAAAGTGATGAGAAGAAGGACCTGGTTGGGAAGGGGAAGCAATTCCAAGTGTAAGCAAAATGGCAGAAGTAGCCTCCTCAATATTCTCTTTTCCGGTCTCAACGGAGACTGGTTATGGTGAAACCGAGCATCAGGAAGAATCCGGTTGGGCCACCCAAAGCTGAGAGAGACGAACCACTTGGATCCAGAATCTGGATTGCATTGTACGATTGGCGGCTACTCTCCTCCTTTCGTTGCTTGCCTCGTTCTTTTTCTTCTTCGCAAAGGTCTTGGCTTGGCTTTCTGCTTTACACTGATGCAGCAAAGGTGATGGTACCGATCCGGCATCTGAGACGCTCCAAATCAGCCCAAAAAGGGACCAAGGGCTTGTTTTTTGCATGCCTCTTGCAAATCATCCTCGACAAAAAGCACAACTGATTCCGGGGAGACCCTCTTCTCCTTGTATTGCTCTTAAATTTTTGTACAGATTGTGACATCTTCTCCAAGTTCCTTGTTTCATCTTTCGGCTCGCGGCGATCGCAGTATCTGGATGGCGCTATGTCTCCCATTATTAATAATAAAAAAATAAACCTCTCTGTGTTTGTGTGTGTCCCTTAGTATCAGGCTGAAAAATTGTGTAATGATGCAAGTTGTGCTTGAACAAAATTTGAGGACTTTTGCAATGTCCACCACCACCTATTGTGACATACTGCAAGTTTCATCTATGCTGACGATCGTTCCATCGCCGCTCAAAAGATATGTTTTTAACACCATGTTTTAATGTTTTAATGTTACATTTTATGATAGTTATATGTTTTTTTTATGTTAAGTTTCATATGTATGTGAGGCATTAAATTTTGCCATAAATATGTTGGAAACCGCTTTGAATTCACCCCTGGGGTGAGAAAAGAGGTATACAAGTGAAGTAAATAAACAAATAAACAAACCTGAGGGTCACAACCAGACACAGTGAAGACACCTGTCCTTGCGCTAAGCTACTCTGTTGCTGAATACACATGCCCAGTGTGGACACATATCTCCACGTTCAAACAGTGGATGTGGCTCTTAATGAGACATACCGCATTATCACAGGATGTCTACGCCCAACACCGTTGGAGAAATTATACTGTTTAGCCGGTATTGCACAACCTGACATCTGTCGGGAAGTAGCAGCTGATAATGAAAGGACCAAGGCATTGAACATCTCCAGCCCATCCTCTGTTCGGACATCAGTCAGCAAGACAACACCTTAAATCAAGAAATAGTTTCCTAAGATCTACAGATGATGATGCAGTGGCGGAGTAACTGGTGCACCATGGATGAATATACAATTTTATTTATTTATTTATTTATCTATTTATTTATCTATTTATTTATTATTTGTCATGCTCCCACAGGGACTTTATTATTTTATCTAATCTAAGCTTCCCTTAGGGAGCCCCCGGTGGCGCAGTGGGTTAAAGCACTGAGCTGCTGAGCTTGTTGATCAAAAGGTCGCAGGTTCGATTCTGGGGAGCGGCGTGAGCTTCCGCTGTCAGCCCTAGCTTCTGCCAACCTAGCAGTTCGAAAACATGCAAATGTGAGTAGATCAATAGGTACTCTCGGCGGGAAGGTAACGGCGCTCCATGCAGTCATGCTGGCCACATGACCTTGGAGGTGTCTACGGACAACGCTGGCTCTTCGGCTTAGAAATGGAGATGAGCACCACACCCCAGAGTCAGACATGACTGGACTTAATGTCAGGGGACTACCTTTACCTTTACCTAAGCCTCCCTTAGTTAGAAGGGGTTCGGTTCTTTGTTGTATAGTTTATGGGAGGGGTCCATAGTTAGCCTCATAACCAGATCCAGTAGCTTTCTTGAAGCCAGCCATTTGGGAGAAGGTGCTAGAGGAGTGAGGAAGCTGGACTTCTAAACATTGCATGTTTAGAAGTTAGTGTTGCAAGTTAAAGAAACCGTGCCACAGATGTATGGAAGATAAGGCAAGAAAGGACACAGAAGGAAAGCAAAAGGTAATAGCTAAGGCCCCCCAAAATGAACACATATATATGTATAGATGCAATTCTCAGATGCAACCACAAGACGTCAGTGTGTAGATAGAAAGGCTACCTCCAAGGGAGAGATGACACATAAAAGAAGGCGGAAATCTATGTAAAAGCAAAAATATGTATGTATGTTTGTACTTCAAAGGCTCTTACATGGTTGATGGATCTGGACCAAATATAGTACATATATACTCTTCATGGTCCAACTTAAAATACTGGGTAGGTTTCAACTGAAATATCCACCCTGTTTGGGGATAGAGTTCCCAAAACAAATACTATATATCCAGTTCTTGGATGCAACCACAAGAGGGCAGTGTATAGATAGAAAGGCTACCTCCAAGGGAGAGATGACACATAGAAGAAGGCGGAAATCCATGTAAAATATAAAAATGTATGTATGTTTGTTCCTCAAAGAGCCCTACACAAATATAGTACATACCGTATATACTCAAGTATACGCCGATCCAAATATAAGCCGAGGCACCTAATTTTACCACAAGAAACTTGGAAAATGTATTGACTCGAGTATAAGCCGAGGGTGAAAAATGCAGCCGAGGGTGAAAAATCATCAGTAGGTTAAATGTTTTTGTGTATTTACATAAAACTGTAATTTAAGATAAGACTATCCAACTCTGATGAAACCATTATTCTAACCTTCTTTACTGTCAATGTGCTTAAGTATCCTTCCAATAATAATAAAGAGAGTAAAATAATAAATGTAATAATAATACATAGAGTAAATTAATAAAAGTAATAAAATAATAGTACAGTAAAAAGAATATAAAGGTAATAATAATAGAGTAAAATAATAAATGTAATTTCTTTTTGGCATGTCAGGAGCGACCTGAGAAACTGCAAGTCGCTTCTGGTGTGAGAGAATTGGCCATCTGCAAGGATGTTGCCCAGGGGACGCCCGGATGATTTGATGTTTTATCATCCTTGTGGAAGGCTTCTCTCATGTCCCCGCATGAGGAGCTGGGGCTGATAGAGGGAGCTCATCCACCTCTCCCCGGATTCTAACCTGCGACCTGTCGGTCTTTAGCCCTGCCGGCACAGGGGTTTAACCCACTGCGCCACCGGGGGCTCCTAATAAATGTAATAAAAAATAATACTAATAACAGAGTAAAATAATAAATAACCTTTACTCAAGTATAAGCCTAGGAGGACTTTTTTAGCCTAAAAAAAGGGGCTGAAAAACTAGGCTTATACTTGAGTATATACAGTATATACAGTACTCTTCATGGTCCAACTCAAAATACTGGGTAGGTTTCAAGTCCCAAGACTCCCCAACATGAAGCCGTAGCAGTTTGAACACATTTGTGTTCTGCAGTGTGGATGGACCCGAAGCAAGGAAGGAAAAGAGAGCCAGCAGTCTTTACCAACTGTTAAAAAAATTTATTAAAATGTCCAGCAGTACAGAAACCACAAAGGGTTTTCTTGTTTTCAATCTCCCCGATTCCTGCCTCCCGCTTTCCTTCCCTCCCCACTATTATTATTATTTTTATGCAAAAAAGGGCCGATCTGAGGGACACACAAAAGGGGGGCGGGGAACGGCAGCCACATTGAGACAGCACCAAACTCACTCTCTCATGCGACGGCACACAAATCCGACCCCAGCCTCACTGGCGACGACTTAAAAGGGGGGAAACTATAGTATGGGTTCCTCGAGCAATTATTGTTCACTGAGACACCCCACCCGTAATGGTGTTAGATAGAAAATACTGTTTGATGTACATGTGGAATATAGATAGCACCTGGGTAGTGACTGCAAAAGTCATGGCAATGGCTGAGTCATAACCATGTGAGGGTTATAGCAAAGGAGTTGCATCAGCCAATGTCATTGCAAAGGGGTTGCATCAGCCATTGTCCCTTACTGATGACCAATCAGCAGGTGGCTATTAGAGCTGTGTAATTAATGTAAAAAAGTTTTAAAACTCATTCAAAAATTAGGTGGTGCCAGTGTTTCGTTACTAAAGTGTTTCTAAAGTGTTGTGAGTGAACAAGAGTAACGGAATTTCATTACTTTTTCGTTCTCGTAATTACGCACGTGGGGAAACGTCAGGGGTTCCTTTCTCCCTCTTTTTTACAGCAATTGGGGTGAAACTTGCTACAATTATAGAACACATTTGCCACTGTGAGCCCACCAAGTTTCAGAACGTTTCACTTATCCACAGATTTTGGGGGAATTTTCAGTTTTTATAACAATTTAAAAAACTACAAGAGCGTGCCTTTTTAATACAAGGACATGAGATAACAGGGGATCATTCCCCCAAACTTTCAGAAATATTCCTACATCTAAAGATTTTAGGGAAATTTTTAAAAAAGATTTGACAAAAAAATTAGAAGCCACAACTGAATATCTCTCATATTAACCACTAAAACTTCAATTGAGGGATTTCTTCCCAGCCCAGCACTGAGATATACTTATTAGAAGTATCATCCGGTCCTCTTCTTTGCAGATTCAACATTGTATTGGAACTCTGGTTGGCTGCTGCTATGGAGGGACATATCTCTCCCCTCTCCTGACTGGGGTTTTCCAATGCTGAGCAGAATTCTGGGAAATGTAGTTTAGGACAGGGCCTTTTGCATTCTCTGCCATAGGACTCTTTGCCTCCCCAAACTACATTTCCCAGAATCCTGTGCTTTCTCAGTCCCTTTCCCAGCTCACTTAGCTCATCCTGCCCTGCTGCTTTCCTCTCCTCATGCGAGAAGCAGCCTATCTCTTCTTAATTTCCTTCCTTGCACTGAAAATTAAACTGACTTTGGTAGGCTTCTGAGGTTTATAAAATGCAAACAAAAAAGTATTGGGTGAGTTTCGATTCCATGAGTCAGATATTGTGTCGTAAGTACTAATTTGATCCAACTTACAATGACTAACAAAAAATAATTGCACTCCCCTAGTGGCTATATAAGGAGAATGAGAGAATCCATCTCACTCTCTCCTGTGTGACTCAGTGTAAGTATCTGCCTGTGTTGTATGTGATTGCTTGCAAGTACAAGGGAAGAGGATCTGCGTATCCTGTTTGTACATGTGTATATATTGCAATGGTGAAAATTAAAGCCTCTGGATATTTTGAATGAAAACCTGAATCCACGTGTTTACTATACAGTGTGTAAATAAGGTCAGATGCTAGCAACTGGACTCTACTAATAGATGGGGTGAAGCATGTGCTTGCTGTGAAAAAGAACTCTGCTGTATTTTGTTTGCTTTTGGGACACTTGCTATCCAGCTTGCAGCAGTTCAGGGAGGTCATGATATGGATACTATAAATTACTTCACGACCAGCAAATCCCACGACAAACAGTGGACGTTTGTCATCACAATGGGAATGGAGGCTGAGATCTCACTTGTTTCTAGCCGTTGGAGGAAACTCATAAAAGAGGAACACTTTGGGAAGACAGTGGCCCGCCAACTTTGGGATCAATATGAGATCTTAAGGGGTTTCGTGGAAAGAAAGGGTTTCGGCCAACATTAAGGGACAAATCTGTGCGGTTTTGTCCCTCAACGGTGGCCGAACCCTTTTTCCAACAATACAGGCCTCTCCCATCACTGTAGATTCTGCATTATTAGAAAACCAAAAAGATGATGGAGAAAATAAAATTGGAGGGGTGGGGGAAGAGGGAGGAAGACAAGGCATCCAAAGGGAAGTCAAAGGGAGGGGAGGAAGGGGAGCCAGGGACTTGTGCTTTTTTGCTGTTTAGAAGTAGTTGCCATCTTCTTCATTCCAGTCTGCCTTCGGATGAGGCGGCGGCTGCTGTTTGGGGTGTTTCCGCCGATCTTTGCGGGATTTGTGGCGGTGGTGCTGGTGGTGCCGGTGGCGGTGGTGCCGGCGGGTTCTGTGGGAGCGCCTGGCTGAATGGGGACAGAGGCAAGGAGAGAGGTTTTAGTGCGTCATTCAAACTCATATCGAACTCTAGAATTGGAAAGGATCCCCAAAGGCCATCCAGTCCAACCCCATTCTGCCACTGGAAGCGTCATAAGAGTTGGAAGGGATTTCAAAGGTCATCCAGTCCAGCACCATGCTGCCATTGGAATAATCATAGCTTCTTATAGTTGAAGGGGACCTCAAAGGCCACCCAGTCGAACCCTGCCTTGGGGGGAACTCACGTTTTGTGCAAAGGACTCGGGGCCGGTCCCACGTCCCATTGACGTGGCACTTGATGGTGGGCAGGTGCCGCTGGAGGAAGCCCTCCTCGCATTGGTAGCGGACCGTTGCATGGACACTGTATTTCTCCTTTTTCTTGCCGATGGGGAAGGCGTTTTCCACGGCAGGCGGAGGGCCACACAGCACTGCAGCAAACAAAGTGACAATGATAGATAGATAATAGGCAGACAGATACAGACAGATAGATAGATAGATAGATAGATAGATAGAAAGAACACTCTCATATTTCAGGCTCTATTCTCATCTGGGTGACAATCATGGTTTACTGCACTGAGTGATGCCAACCCTAACAATGCCAATGGCAAAATATATCCTTCCAGGTTATTTCAACCTGAAATGAATCTCTAGAAAACAGATGATAGATAGATAGACATACAGATAGATAATAGACAGGTGAAAGATGATAGACAGATAGAAGACAGTTGATAGTTGATAGACAAATAAATGATAGATAGATGATAGACAGATGATAGTTGATAGACAGTTGATATGTAAATGATAGATAGATAGATAGATAGATAGATAGATAGATAGATAGATAGCAGACAGCTGATAGTTGATAGACAGCTAGGTGATAGGCAGATGATTGATAGATAGATAGACAGATAGATAGATAATAGAGAGTTGATCGTCGATAGACAGATGATAGTTAGATAAATAGATAGATGGATGGATGGATAGGTAATAGACAGGATAGACAGTCGATAGACAGACAATTGATAGATGATAGATAGATAGATAGATAGATAGATAGAGGACAGTTAATAGTTGATATACAGTTGATAGATAGACAGACAGATGGATAATAGATAGGTGATAGATGATTGATAGATGATTGATAGATAGAAAGACAGACAGACAGATAGATAATAGAGAGTTGATAGTTGATAGACAGTTGATAGCCAGACAGATGGATAATAGAGAGTTGATAGATAGATGATAGACAGATTATTGATGGACATATAGACAGATAGATAATACATAGTTGATAGTTGGTAGACAGATGATAGATAGATAGACAGACATATTATAGACAGGATAGTTGATAGATAAATAATACATGATAGATAGATAGATAGATAGATAGATAGATAGATAGATAGATAGATGACAGTTGGTAGTTGATAGACAGATAAATAATAGACAGATGGTCGATAGATAGATAGACAGACAGACAGAAAGATAGGTAACAGACAGTTGATAGTTGATAGACAGATGATTGATAGACAGATAGATAGACAGATAGATAAAAGACAGTTGATAGCTGACAGACAGTTGATGGACAGATAGATGATAACCGACAGTTGATAGGCAGATAATGATAGACAGATGATTGATAGACAGAATGACAGAAAAATAGATAATAGACAGTTGACAGTTGATAGACACACAGATAGGTGTACAATAGACAATTGATAGACAAATAGATGACAGATAGATAGATAGATAAATAGATGGATAGACAGATAAATAATAGACAGGATAGACAGTTGATAGACAGATAAATGATAGATAAATAGACAGACAGACAGACAGATAGATAGATAGATAGATAGATGACAGCTGATAGTTGATAGATAAATGACAGACAGACAGATGATAGATAGATAAAAGACAGTTGATAGATGGATAGATAGATAATAGATAGATAATAGACAGTTGATAGATAAATTATATAGATTATAGATAGATAGATAGACAGAGACAGACAAACAGATAATAAACAGGATATACAGTTGATAGCCAGATAAATGATAAATAGATAGATAGATAGATAGATAGACAGACAGATAGATAATAGACAGTAGATAGATAAATGATAGCCAGATGATAGATCTGTCTATCAACTGGTCTTATAGGTCTGGTACTTTTTCTATTTCCTCTTTCCACCAGTGAAATGCCGCTCGCGCATCTGCATCTGCTGCCTGTTAATTTGCAAAGAAACCCTGCCATTACAACGATTAACTCGCTGCCTTCCTTATCAGGGAAAGTCACATTAACCTCCAGCTGTTTGCCGACAAGCCGGAGAAATACGGATTCTTCCCGCTCCGGGGCTAATGATGTATGATAAAAAAGCCGCTAATTAAATATGCAAATCCCCCTCCCCCGCTCCCATTTGCATTCAGCAAAGTGGTCACTTGGCTTGCATTTAGAACAGCTCACGGCATTTGGATGACAGCGTGGAAAAGAAACCGGATTACACGACACAGAGCCATATCCTTACATTAATATATCCTATTACGTATCCTGGCGAACTATGTCCATTTACCCTGGCCACAAGACCCTTAAGAAAGGCCCTTTTCTTAGTCTTATTGCCATTGGAAACACATTTAGTGGGGATGCAAGGCGGGACCTTTTTGGTGGCAGCCTCTAAAATTGTGAAATTTACTTTCAAAAGCCTTTTAAATCCTATTTTGGGTTTCTACTTATCATCAACCTGTTTATCAACTGCCTATCAACTGTCTATCTATCATTTGTCTGTTTGTTTATCTATCATCTGTCTATGATCTGTTTATAACTTGTCTATCTATCTATCATCCATCATCATCTATCTCAGTGGTTCTCAACCTGTGGGTCCCCAGGTGTTTTGGCCTACAACTCCCAGAAATCCCAGCCAGTTAACCAGCTGTTAGGATTTCTGGGAGTTGAAGGCTAAAACATCTGGGGACCCACAGGTTGAGAACCACTGATCTATCTATATCTGCCTATCTGTCTATAACCTAACAATAATCTGTCTGTCTGTCTGTCTGTCTCTCTCTCTCTCTCTCTCTCTCCCTCTCTCTCTCTCTCTATCTATCATCATTGGGCTTGTCCCTTGTAAGCCACCCCAAGTCCCCTAGGGGAGATGGTTGGCGGGGTATAAAAATAAAGTTGTTATTATTATTATTATTATTATTATTATTATTATTATTATCTGTCTATGATCTACCTGTTTATAATCTGTCTATTTTATCTATCATCCATCACCTATCTATCATCTGCCTATCTATCTATAATCTGTCAGTCATCTGTCTATCTATTTATCTATCTATCTATCTATCTATCTATCTATCTATCTATCTATCTATCATCTGTCTATGATCTATCTGGGCCAGGCTTTAGCACAGCAGGTTAACTGCCAGCTGCGGTATATCTTGCCAACTGAAAGGTTGACAGTTTGAAGCTGTGCTAAGCCTGGCCCCTAGTCTCTGAAGCAACCAGAGGCAACCTTGCTCCCTCCTCCATGAAACATCTTTTCAGATATTTAAACATGGCTGTCATGTCCCCTCTCGAGTCACACTCTCTCAGCCTCAGAGGGAAAAATCTGTGACAGCCTTCCCTTAAGGTCAGAAGCAACTTGAAGGAACATAACAAAAGCAGTCCACATGAAAGGGATCTTGGTATCTTAGTAGACCACAATCTGAACATGAGAGAAGAGTGTGCTGCGACACCTAAAAAAGCCCTCTGTGCTTATACAACAGCACTGAAGCGAGCTTTGGCATGCCATCCAGTCTGCAACTGGCGATCCTTGTTTTAATGGACCATTGAAAAACAAAAACCTATATCTCTCCTTGGTTTTACCTGTGTCCTTTTTGCAGACGTAGGGCAGGTTGTAGTTGCAAGGGACATCGTTCCACTTGCCCGTCTCATGCGACACCAGCACCACACAGTCCTCGCCGCCCGCGAAGAAGTTGTCCGGCTGGTTCTCTCGCCAATTTTCATATTGCTAGCGGAGAGATGGAGGGAAGAAATGAAAGAGGGCCCCCAGTGTGCTTCCCAATACTCCCCTAGATTGGACTCATTAAGATAAAGTTAGACCTTGAACCTTCAGCCTCCTCTCCTGCCTCCCCAAGGACTCACCAGACCTGAGTTGTCCGTCCACTGAAAATCTTGCTCCACAATGCGGTCATTGAGGCCGATCCACGTGTTTTCATGGCCAAAGCCTGAATAGGAGGGGAAAAGGGACATTTGTGTAATTGCAAATCTTTCCCCAAGCACCCTCTTTTTCTTTTGGCTTTCCACATTTTCATCCTCCAAACTGTTGACAAGAGATTGGGAAAGATATTCATTGTACTGCATCCACAACTGCCAAAAAAAGGGCGAATAATCCCACTGGTTAGATAGTTAACTCAGTGGATAGAGAGATGATCGATAGATGGTCAATAGATAGTTGGTCAATAGATAAACACTCAATTGATAGATACATGATCAATAGATATATGGTCAATAGATAGACACTCAATGGATAGATAGATAGTCGATAGATGGTCAATAGATAGATTGTCAATAGGTAGATGGTCAATAGATAGATACTCAATGGATAGATAGATGGTCAATAGATAGATGGTCAATAGATAGACACTCAATTGATAGATAGTCGATAGATTTTTCAATAGATGGTCAATAGACACTCAATTGATAGATGGTCAATAGATGGTCAATAGATAGATGATCAGTAGGTAGATGGTCAATAGATAGACACTCAATGGATAGACAGATGGTCGATAGATGGCCAATTGACAGTGTTGATAGTCAATAGATAGGTGGCAGATAGGTAAATAGTCAACAGTTAGATGGTTGATAGATAAATAGATTTGATGAATAGATGGTCAATAGATAGGTAGATGGTCGATAGGTGATCAATAGATAGATGGTTGATAAACACAGAATAGATAGATAGATTGTTGATAGTCACTAGATGGTAGATAGATGGATCGATGTATAGATGATTGATAGATAGGTGATTAATACATGGTAGATAGATAGATAGTTGATAGATAATGATTGATAAATATATGGTCAATAGGAGATGGTCGACAGAGACATGGTACATAGATCATCAAGAGAGAGATAGTTGATATAGCTAAGATAGACAGATGGATAGACAGACAGATAGATACATAGATTGATAGATGGCAAATAGATGTTGATGCTTAGTTGGTCAATCGATAGATAGATAGTTGATAGATAATGGTAGATAGATGCGCAATCGATAGATGATTGATAGAGATAAGAGAGAGAGAGAGAGAGAGAGAGAGAGAGAAATGGTTGAGAGATAAGACTTACTATTGATGAAATTGTGCTCCTCCCAGGAATGGATACTGGTCAGATGTCCCGATCGGCGGCGGCAGTCCCTCTCCGCATCCTCCCAGGAGCGTCGATGGGCGAAATATCGGTAGCAATGGCCTTGGAATTTGTGCCAGTTGTGGTCACAGCCTTCTGTGTCTAGGATGAAGCAAAGGTAAACGTGGGAAACTAAGAGACTTTGATGAGAGACCGCTCATGAATACTATAAGAAGAAGAAACTATCCAAACCACCTCTGGGCCTTTCTTGACCCTATAAAGCAGGCATGGGCAAACTTTGGCCCTCCAGGTGTTTTGGACTTCAACTCCCACAATTTCTAACAGCTGGTAGGCTGTTCGGAATTGTGGCAGTTGAAGTCCAAAACACTTGGAGGGCCGAAGTTTGCCCGTGCCTCCTATAAAGTCTTGGAGATACATCCAAAGTCAAAGGGAGAAAGATTGAGCAAGCCAACCACCAGATGCAATGAACGGCCAGAGGGAATTCCCCGGCCGTCGCCTTGACAAGCCAGGGAGAAAGCAATCCTATTAATCCAATCCGGTCCCCAAAGGCCCGGCTGGCAGAGCCGGTTTGGAGCCTGCTAATCTCCCAGCGGAGAAGAGGAAGCTCTTTCCTGCCGCATCCGATTAAGCAGAACAAAGCTGGCGGCACCAAAGGGAGCTGGTCCCACCACCGCCCCGAAGGATAAACAAGGCGGACGGAGACGAAGGAGATGGCAACAGTAATGGAGAACGCTTCCCCCGCTGATTCCTCCATGCTCCGGAGATCAAAGCCGCTTCTGCCTCCTCCGCGAAGGAGATCAGTGAGAGACCCAATTATCTCCCACTGGATTAAATCCTACACTGCAAGGCTCCTGAAAGCACGGCCGACGGGTCCACACGAGTGTGGATGTCACCCGTCAACTTGGAAGACTCGGAGGTGGTTCTACCACTTTCTTCCTCTGAAATATGGCCAGTAGGGATGTGCAAACCATTAAAAACAATGGTTCAAAAGTCATTACAAAACTGGGGTTGTTGGCACTTCGTTTCTAAAGTGTTTCTAAAGTATACTTAGTGAAAATTTCATTACGATAACAAAAGTAACGAAATTTCGTTACTATTTTGTTATAGTAATTGCACATGTGCACAATTAAATTACTATAATTGGGGAAACTTCAGGGGCTTCTATCTCCCTCATTTTTAAAGGTATTTGGGGTGAAAGTTGCTACAAAGCTAGAACACATTTCCCACTCTTTGCCCACCAAATTTCAGAACTTATCCACAGATTTTGGGCAAATGTTTCACTTATTCACTGATTTTGGTGAAGTTTTTATAAAGAACATTTTTAATAAAAAGGAAAATTTGTTCCTAGTTTCAAAGTGTTATTTCCTGTTTCGTTGTGAAAGAAGTTGTTCTACTCCAGAAACTTTACTTTCGTGGCAGAAACTTTGCCAAATTGGTGGAGACTCTACCAAGCAAAATGTGCAATATATAGGACAATGTCCCTCACACAAAGATAATGTCAAATGAAGGTACAAATGCTGTTAACGGTTCTGGCCCAGTTTACCGGTCTGAACATATCTCCCGCTACAAATCACCTAGGACCCAAAGATCATCCAGGGAGGTCCTGCTCACTCCCCCCCCCCCCCACCATTGCAATCACGGTTGGTGGGGACAAGAGACAGGGCCTTCTCTGTGGTGGCCCCTCGGCTATGGACTTCCCTCCTAAGTGAAATCAGATCCGCTCCTTCCCTCCTGACTTTCTGAAAAAAGATGAAATCCTAGCTGTGGAATCAGGCCTTTGCGGACCAGACCGACATGATGGTAGAGCTATGGTTTAATGGACTCTGATGGACTCGAATGGACTGTGTGTAGGACAATGATTCAATTCTGGCGATTGTTCTAATGTTTTACTGTTTTATACTGTTTTTAAAATCTAAGATGTGTGTGTGTGTGTGTGTGGGTGGGTGGGTGTGTATATATATATATATATAGTCAGCCACCCTGCGTCCCTCTGTGGAGGTCGCGAGAGGACAGAATATAAATGTCCGAAATAATAATGAAAATAAAATAAATGAAGGCATTGGATTCATTTCACTTAGCAATACATTTGCCCTATAAGCAGGGTCTGCCCTGGTTGAGACTTGGATGGGAGGCCACCAAATGTTTGTCAGAGAAGAGGGCCAAACCACTGCTATTATTATTGTTGTTGTTATTGTTATTGTATTTATTTATACCCTGCCTTATCTCTCCCGAAGTAAACTCAAAGTGGCCTAACATCAAAGTATCAGCATACAATTTAAAATATACTATTATTACTATTATTATATATTATTATAATATATTATTATTATTATTTATACCTGCTTCATCTCTTCTGGAATAGACTCAAAGTTGCTTAATATATAAGCATCAGCATACGATTTGAAATATACTATTATTTTATTATTATTATTATTATTATTATTATTATTATTATTATATTTATATCCCACCTTATCTCTCCTCAAGGAAACTCAAAGTGGCTTAACATAAAAGCATCAGCATACAATTTAAAATATATGATTATTACTGTTATATTATATAAAATTATTATTATTATTATTACAAAACTTCCAATTTTCTTACGATTTCCGACTCTTCTGATTTTCTTGCACATGCCTAACGGCCAGTAGTCATTAGCAGTCTTCCCTCCACATACATTGGATAATGCATATCCTACATAAGGTCTTATGTAAGACATGCATTCTCCAATGTATGTGCCTTTGAGTTGCCTATAGATTCATGGTGATGCCATGCATTGGCACTGTAGAACGAATGCAGCTTGAACCCACTTGAACTGCCATGGCTCAATGCTATGGGATCCCAGGAGTTGTAGTTCAGGGCGGTGCCAGCACTGGGTTCCCCAACATACCAATGCCCTCCCTGCAAAGATATTCTTTTCATCTCACCTCGTTCACACAGGTTTCCCCCATAGCTGGGCAAGCACAGGCAGATGAAAGAGTTGATTTCATCTATGCAAGTTCCGCCATTCTGGCAGGGGCTAGACAAGCAGTCGTCAATATCTGGAAGGAATTAATTAGTCAGTTAATTCAATGATATCCCTGCCTTTCTCCCAATCTGAGAACCCATCAATTCAGGAATTTAACAATATCTGACAGATGGATGGAATGTGAAGATATCTGGATGGTCAATAGATAGATAGATCGTCAAGAGATAGATGGTTGATGTAGATAAGATATAAATAGATAGATAGAAAGAAAGATAGATAGAAGATGGATGTATGGATATGATCAATAGATGGTAGACAGACAGACAGATATAGATAAATAGATAGTCAAGAGAGAGATGGTTGATATAGGTAAGAAATAGATGATAGATAGATAGATAGATAGATAGATAGACAGACAGACAGACAGACAAATGGTAGGTAGACAGTTAATAGATGGTAGATGGATAGGATCAATAGATGGTAGATAGATAGGTAGATTTTTAAGAAATAGATGGCAGATATAGATAAGAAATAGTTGATAGATAATCGTTGGTAGATATATGGATGGTCAATAGACATGTTCAATAGATAGATAGTCGAGAGATAGATGGTTGATATAGAAAAGAGATAGATAGTAGATAGACAGTCAATAGATGATAGATACATGGATGGATAGATGATTAGATTATTATTATCATCATCATCATTATTATTGGATTGTTGATTCATAGTTGGTTAATAGATAGATAGATAGATACTGTAGATAGATAGGTAGACAGACAGACAGACAGACAGATAGTTGATAGATAATGGTAGATAGATAATGGTAAATAGATAGTAAATAGACAGTCAATAGATGGTAGATGATCAGTAGATTTTGATACATAGTTGGTCAATAGATAGATAGATAGATAGATAGATAGATAATAGATAGAAGATAGATAGACAGATAGATAGATAGTAGATCATGTTAGATATTTAGACAGATAGATGCTCAATAGATAGATGGTTGATATAGATAAGAGACAGACAGACAGACAGAAAGATAGATCTGAGAGCTCATCAATCCAGCTATTTAACAATATCTGACGGATGGATGGAATGGGAGGATAAGTCCTTCCCTGGTGGTTTTGTATTAGAAGCTGGATGGCCATCTGTCGGGAGGGATTGGATGGTATCTTCCAATCCCTCCCGAATGGGGTTGAACTGGATGGCCCTTGAGGTCTCTTCCAACTCTAGGATTCTATCTATCTGTCTGTCTGTCTATCTATCATCTATCTATCTATCTATCTATCTATCTATCTATCTATCTATCTATCTTTCTATCTATCTATCTGTCTTAAGGGTCTGGACTGAACAACCACCTGTCAAGAGGGATTGGATGATGTCTTCCTTTGGGGCAGAAGAGGGTTGGACTGGATGAGCTTTGGGGTCCCTTCCAACTCTAGGATTCTATCTATCTATCTACCTACCTACCTACCTATCTATCATGAAGGGTCTGGACTGAACAACCACCTGTCAAGAGGGATTGGATGATGGGGCAGAAGAGGGTTGGACTGGATGAGCTTTGGGGTCCCTTGCAACTCTAGGATTCTATCTATCTATCTATCTATCTATCTATCTATCTATCTATCTATCTATCTATCTATCTATCTATCTTGAAGTGTCTGGACTCTGTGACTATCTGTCAAGAGGGATTGGGTGGTGTCTTCCTTCCGGGCTGAATGGGGTTGGACTGGATGACCTTTGGTTGCCTCTTCCCGGTCTGGGATTCTACGACCCTACCTATTTCGCAGTTTTCGCCCGTGAAGCCGCGGGGGCAGTTGCAAGTTGAGATGTTCCCACTGGACTGGCAGGTTCCACCGTGGAGACAGGGGTCATTGTCGCAAGGATCCGTTTCCGCTGCAGGATGGAAAAAAGACAACAGGTAAGATCCGAGGCTGCTTTGCTTTCTTCCTTTGCGTGCATTTTATGCAAGAGATCCAATACATTCTATGCCGAGTATCAAGGAAATCCTCGTCCCACTTTATTCTGCTTTGGTCAGACCTCGCCTGGAAGAAGCGGAGAGAATGAACGGCGCCAATATTTGCTCTTGCAAATATTTACGCAGCAAAGGCGAGCCTGCAGTATCAAGGGACAAAACAATTCCTTGAAAGCAATCCCGGTTACATTTCGGTGCCCCGGGTTCGAGACACGTCTTCCCCCCTCTCTTTGTTACTGCCAAAGGAGAGCTCCCTGCTGATGAATATTAACCAAGTGGGTTTTTCCCCTGCCTCTGAGGTTTCTTTGTCTGCCTTCCAGAAAAGGCGGTTTTGATCGTCTCCCAAGCCTTCAAAGGCATCCGGTGCAGAAAACTGGGTTTTACAGGGAGGATAAATACAGAGCTGGAACTCTGTATTTATCCTCACCATAAACATATTAGAGCCAGCTTTCTGATGCTTGAGAGAACAGACTCTGTGGCAATGGCTTTGAATGGCAAGAAACATTACGAATGATAGAGGTCTTGCAACAGAGGTTCAATAGGCATCTCTCAGATATGCTTTGATTGTCTTCCTGTCTGATGTGAGGTTAGACTAGATGACCTCTGGAGTGCCCTTTTAAGTCTAATCTTCTGTGACGATCAACCAAAAGTGCACCCAAATGGCCAGTAACAATGACGAATGCCCTCTTGCCCATCTCTAGAAGAAAAAGAGTGGCTGGAAAGGACACTGTATCCTTTCTAGCTATCCTTTTAGATACTATGCTATTGAAGAAGGCCATGCCCATTTGTTGACCAAATCAATCAATTGTGTTTCAAACAGAGGTCCAAAAAGAATAGTTCTCAAATACAGAGAGTTAGGGGATCCCACAGTATAGGCTAGACCAGGTATGGGCAAACCCAGGCCCAGGGGTCAGATGCAGCCTTTTGGGCTCTTTTCTCAGGCCCTTCTCTCTCACACCATCTGATCCTATCCATCCTTCCTTCTCTCTTTCTTCTTCCATCCTTCCCTTCCACTCTTTTGTCCCTCTTTCCTTCCCTTTTCCCACCCTCCTTCCCTCTCTTCCTCTTTCTCCTTCCTTCCTTTCTTCTTCCCTTCCTTTTGTCTCTCCTTCTCTTTTTCCTTCCTCCTTCCCTCCCCTCCCTCTTTCTCCCTCTCTCCTTCCTTCCTTCCTTTTCCTTCCTTCTCTTTCCTCCCTCTTCCTCTCTTCCTTTTTTCCCTTCCTTCCTTCCTTCCTTCCTTCCTTCCTTCCTTCCTTCTTCCTTCCTTCTTCCTTCCTTCCTTCCTTTCCTTCTCTTTTGTTTCTTTCCTTCTTTCTTTTCCTCCTTCCCTCCCTCTCTTACTTTCCTCCCTCTTTCTCCCTCTCTCCTTCCTTCCTTCCCTCTTTCTCTCTCCCTCTTTCTCCTTCCTCCTCTCTTGTCTTTCCTTCCTTCTCTCTTTCCTCCCTCCATTCCCTCCCTCTTTCTCCCTCCCTCCCTCCTCCCTTCCCTTCCACCCTTTGGTCCTTCCTTCCTTCTCTCTTTCCTTCCTCCTTCCTTCCTTTCCTTCCTTCTTTCCATCCTTCTCTTTGTCCCTTCCTTTCTCCATTCTCTTTTTCTTCTTTCTTCCCTTCCACCCTTTTGTCCTTCCTTCCCTTTTGTCTTTCCTTATCTCTTACCTTCCTCCTTATCTGCTCCTTCCCTTTCTTACCTCCCTCTTTCTCCTTCCATCCTTCCATCCTTTCATCCTTCCTTCCTTCCCTCTTTCTCCCTCCTCTCTCTCCTCTTTCTCCTTCCTTCCTCCCTCCCTCCCCTTCTCCTTCCTTTCCTTTCTTTTTGTCCTTCCTTCCTCCCTTCCCTCTTTCCTTTCCCCTTCCTTCTTTCCATCATTGGACAGCCAGTCCTCTTAGCAGGGAGTACTAGCATGCAACCCCCGTTAGAAAGTTTGCCCATGCCTGGGCTAGACTCACTATCAAGCCCTTATATGAACTTTACTATGTTCTCTAATTAAGCCCCCCTTAGTTAGAAGGGGTTAAGTTCTTTATTGTATAGTTTATAGGAGGGAACCCTAAGGAGCACTCACCCCATGACAATATCAAAGAGTCAAAGAAATGAAGGAAGAACACAAAGAGGTGGAAGACTTGCCGATCAGGGTGATATTGGCCTCCTCGTTCCACACCAGACCTTCGGCCTCCTTGACCCCCAACGCATCACCTTTCTCTTCTCCACTTCCGCTGTCGGCATCCATAGGGAGAAGGCCGCTTGGATGAAAGTAGCTGTCGTTCTCTCCTTCCACTTCAGTTATCCTTGGGGAACTGGTGAGTGGAGGGTTGGGATCTGTAGGCTGTTGTTGATGCTGCGTAGGCTCTGGCATGCTTTGGAAAGTCAATGGTGAGCTTTGTAACATTGGCTCTCCTTCTCCACCTTCCTTGGTTGGAAAGTGTAAGAGAGAAGTAACTTCATGGTCAGAAGGCTCTTGTGTCACTTGGTCTTCCCAATGGTCAAGATCATCTCCTGTTGCATTTATGATGGCTTCCCAACGTTGGCTTTGGTCAACTGTACTGACTTCATGGTGGGCTTCCATGCTTTGTGTCACTGCCTCCCAGCTGCCTTGGACCTTGGACAAGTTTAAGACTTTAGTCAACGTGGAGCTACTAGCTGATGCTGGGTTGTTTGTCACAGTGGGTTCCATCATGACAGCTATTTTGTCACCTTCTGTCATCCCCACGTTGGCTTCCTTGGACACTTGTGAGTAAACATGGTCTGGCTTCAAAGAGGGGACCTCCTTGGCCGAGAGAGTAATGGCTTCATGTCCTCTCACTTCTGCCAGCTCCTCCAAATGTGGGTGGCTCTCATCCAAGATGACATCCATCGCTACCAACTTCGGGGCATTTGTTGAGTTCAGATCTTCTGTGACAACCTGGAGCAAGTTTGGATGGGCCTTGAAGCTCGGCCCTGGAAGTCCCTCCACAGGCAGAACCTCCTTGATGGGAATTTCTCGAGAATTGTATTCGACCTCACCGCTCGATTCATCATTGGCATGAGGTGAGCTCCTTTGGCGCTCGGCCTTGGGGGCCACATCCGGTATTGTCGGCGTTGCATCTGCATGGCCAGAGAAGCCATCCTCATTGTCTTGGGAATGCGCCACCCCTTGAGGGTAGTCCCCTCGGATGCTGGTACCGAGGGGGGTATCTTCTGCATCGCCTCCCGTTGTCGTAGTAACGCTGGTAGTCCAAAGCATCCCACTGGCCGAAGCCCATGGTGATGTGTGAGGATGCTCATTGTGGGTCGGCCTCTCCTGCTTTGGTGACGTGTGTCCTTGGATATTTTCTTCTTCAATCCACTCTTTTCTAGTGTGGGGAGATATCTCTTGATGGCCTTCACCCTCCAATGCCAGTAGCCCTACAAAGAGATGGCAATGGTTAACAACGAGAAATGGAGCTAAGGAAGCAACGCCCTTTATACTCATTCACGATGCAATCAACATGGGAAATAATAATACTCTTGTATTGTTTCACAAAGTCCTAGACGACATTGCCTATGTGGGTCCACAAAAGTCACCTCTGGTGATGAACTCAAATTGCCCTGAGTCCCTTTGGGGAGATAGGGCGGTATAGAAATAAAGTATTATTATTCTTATTATTATTATTAGATGTGGTCGGGCACAAAAGTTTTGGTAATTTATGTTATGTTATAACTTGGAAAAGAATTAGCGATGTATTGATGGTATGTAACTCCTGAGAAGCTTTCTAAGGTGCCTAGAGAGGTCTCCAACACTTGCTGGAAAGGTAAACAGCAAGCGGGATCTTTCTCCCATGTGGGGTTACATCCAGATTGGACTATTGCAATGCGCTCTACGTGGGGCGGCAGCCAGGCTCCTTACTGGAGCAAACTATAGGGAACATACAATGCCCCTTTTAAAACAGCTTCACTGGCTGCCGATAAGTTGCCGAGCCAAATTCAAGGTGCAGGTTATGACCTATAAAGCCCTAAATGGTTCGGGCCCCGCCTATCTTCGTGATCGCATCTCCCTCTATGAACTGGTGCAAACTTTAAGATCTTCGGAAGGCCCTCCTTTCGCTTCCACCATCGTCACAAGCACGGTTGGCGGGGCGAGAAAGAGGGCCTTCTCGGTGGTGGCCCCTCGCCTCTGAAACGTCCTTCCTGGAGAATAAGACAGGCCCCATCCCTCCCTCCTTTCATAAGAGCCTGAAGACCTGGTGGTTTAAACAAACCTTTGAGAACGACTAGTTCTAGCTCAGCCCCAGATGCTGTTGAAATTGGCCATATCTTTTTCTACCAATTACCCAGGTCCCTTTCTTCTATTAGGCCCTGGAAATGTACAGCCATAGACTCTACCTAATTTCCCAGGCCCTCTAAAATTGCATTAGCCCAGCCTGGCCTTTTAAACTGCCTTGAACATGCAGGATTATTTTAAATATATGTGCTATTGTGTTTTTTAATGCTTATATTGTCTTGTTAATTTTATGTTTATGCTGTTTTCTTGTATGTATTGATTATGTTACTTGGAAACCGCTCTGAGTCCCCTTGGGGAGATAGAGCGGTATATAAATAAAGTTTTGTTGTTGTTGTTGTTGTTGTTGGACACAAAAGTTTTGGAAATTTACGTTATGTTGTAAGTTGGAAGAGAATTAATGATGTATCAATGGCATGTGACTTCTGAGAAGCTTTCTACAGTGTCTATAGGGGTTTCCAAAATTTCCTGGAAAGGTAAACAGTAGGGCTGGGCGGTTTCGTTTCATAATTTCGTAATTCGTTAAAAATTCGTTATTTTTTTGATAACAAAGCAATTTTGAACCATTCAGGAGCATCTAAAAAACGAAACGAAATTTTCAATTCGTTTCGTAATTGCTTCGTATTCGTTTCGTATTCGTTTCGAAATCGTTTCGAAATTGTTTCGTTATTATTTCCGCATGTCTGGGGCAAGTTTTATAGCTGTTGTTTGTTTAATCAGTGAAAAAAAATTATAAATATCACACCAACAGTCAACAACAGAGGGAGAGGGAAGCTTCAGAAGTTCCCCCTGTCCCATATGGAGGTTTTTTAGCGTATTGCGCGGTCGCGTCCGCCATTAACGAATCGATTCGTATTCGTTTCGAAATCGTTTCGTAATTGTTTCGTAATTTATGAAATTTCGTAAATATCGAACTTTTTTAAAGAAAAATTTCGGAATTCTTTTAAATATCGAAACGCAAAAAACCCCAAAAAACGAATCGAGTTTAGAAACAAATTTTTCCGTGGTTGCCCAGCCCTAGTAAACAGCAAGTGGGATCTTTCTCCCGTATGGGATGGAGATGTAAACACGCCAAGAAACACTGGATTGAAATACATAGGGTTGTCCAGAAAGTTTTGGGGGTAAAAATATCTAGTTGAAATCTGAGGCTTTTCTGCTTGGTCTGACTGATAGAGCAAAATAGAAGCGATTGCCCTCTACCCACGGCCAGCTTATATAAGCCAGACACGAACGGGAACAATGTGAAATAAGGGGAAGGATAACAAGTTGTTCCATTGCAGACTTAAAGCAGACCGCAAATGTGCATCATGTAGAGAAAGACGAGACGGTCAGATTTCATGGATTCATGTTTATCTGGATATAGATAGTTATAGATATACTAAGGTTGGTCCTGGTACATATAAAGCAAGGGAGAATCCCCCACCCCAAATCATGCCATACACACGGAGAGACACACAAAGAGGATCTTAGCAACCAGAGAGGGCTGCTAATGCGGAGGCAGTTGCCACGGCAACCTCTTCCCGGTGCTCCCTGGCACCGTATCTCATTATCGGGTACCGGTGAGATGAACATAGCAGCGCAGGAGCTTGCTGTGGCTGGGTTGAAAAGGTGGTACGCTTCAGAAGCTACTGCCAGCTGGATGCATGATGGGGCCAGCGAACAGGAGTAAAGAGGATTTAGCAAGAGGTGGCCATGTTGCATTGCATTTTTAGCCATGTTCTAGGTCAGTGGTTCCCAACCAGTGGTCCGCAGACCACCAGTGGTCCGCAAGAACTAAAATATGGTCCGCAAGGGGTGCTTCGATTGTGCTTTTCCTGCATGGCCCATGCAGTATCCTCCAGTTCTAGGATTCCTCCTTAGCATAAGGTTCTCTCCTGGGAAGATGGGCAGCCCCTCCTTGCCACCCTCTTCCCTGGTCGAAAAAAGATTGGGAACCACTGTTCTAGGTCTTCCAACATGATTCTATGGGACATGCTCATAGAGTCGTTCTGGAGGAGCTAGAAATGTTCGAGAGATGTTTGCTCTAAGTCGTCCAGTGCGATTCAATGCTGCATTTCTACCGGAAGTCGTGAATGTCAATAAAGTTCACTGCTATCTACAATTACGAGGCATGTGCGATCGATTAAACATGTTTTGAAAGTAATTACAAATCCAGGGGAAGCCAGCATTTCTACAATGTTTCCAAAGCTTCATTAGTGAAAATTTCATGACTATAAAGAGAGTAACAACATTTTGTGACTTTTTCGTTCTAGTAATAGCGCAAGTGGGGAAAATTCAAGGGCTCCTTCCTCCTTCATTTTTAAAGCTATCAGCATGAAACTTGCTACAACGGTAGAACACGTTTACCGCTCTTAGCCCATCAGGTTTCAGTACATTTCACTTATCCATGGATTTTTGGGGAATTTTCAAAGTTTTTATAAACAGCATTAAAAAAAAACAAGAGCTATCTTCTTGACCTTTCTATTTAATGTCACAAGATAATAGGGGATCATTGCCTCCAACTTTCAGAAGTATTCATACGTCTACTGATTTTAGGGATTTTTTAAAAAAGTTTTGACACAACAGCTATCACACTGAATGTCTCTCATATTAACCAATAGAACTTCAAGTGAGGGATTTCTTCCCAGCCCAGCACAGAGATTTACTTACTAGAAATATCCATCAGTCCTCCTCTTTGCAGATTCAACAATGTATTTGAACTCTGGTTGGCTGCTACTATGGGGGGACACATCTCTCTCCTCTCCAGATCGGGGCTTTCTGATGCTGAGCAGAATTCTGGGAAATGTAGTTTAGGGCAGGGCCTTTTGCATTCTCTACCATAGGGCTCCTTGTCTTCCCAAACTACATTTCCCAGAATCCTGTGCTTTCTCAGTCTCATTCCCAGCTCACCCACCCTGGTGCTTTCCTCTCCTCATGGCATGAAGCAGCCTATCTCTTCTTAATTTAAAGAGGAATAGAAGCCTTTTGGGCTTTGTTTTGCTTCCTTGCGCTGAACAGGGAACTGGCTTTGGGAGGCTTCTGAGGTTTACAAAATGCAAATGAAAAAGTATTGGGTGAGTTTTGATTCTTAAGTTTTGGCTCGTGTATCAGATATTCTGTTGTAAGTACCGATTTAATGAATTTGATATGATTTACGGTGACTAACAAAAAAATTGCACACCCCTAGTAGCTATATAAGGAGGATGAGAGAATCCATCTTTCTCTCTCCTGTGTGACTCAGTGTGAGATAGATAGCTGATATATAATGGTAGATAGATAGTAGATAGACAGTCAAAAAAGTATTGAGTAAGTTTTGATTCTTACGTTTTTGGTGTGGTTCATGCAATGTATCAGATATTGTAAGTACGAATTTAATAAATTTGATCTGACTTACACTGACTAATGAAAAAATTGCACACCCCTAACAGTTATTTATCTACGGTAAGTCTTGCCTCGTATCTGCTACAGATAGAGGGGTCTAAGAGTAATGTACTTACTGTTCCCTTCCACTTCGTTAGACAGTGCGTAACTTGGGTTGCTTCTCAGTGCTGCAGTGGATCCGTGATCAGCACTAGCCGCAGCCTCGATGGAATTGTCCACAATCCGGTGGACCGCCAAGGCCAGGATGGGCAGGAGGGTGGGCAAGTGGGTGCTCCCTTCCGCCTCCTCATCAGTGCCCATGTCGTCATCCCGTCGCCGTTGGAAATAACGGCCATTCAGTCCGGAGTAAATGCTCCTCCGTGTCGATTCAGCCAACACCGAGCTCCCTTCGGTGGTGGGTTGACCCTCATGAGATGTTGGGTCTAAGGTCAAGGTGGGAATGTGGGTCTGGGAAGGCTGTGGCATGCTGGGTGATGCCGTCTCTTGTGGAACTGACTTGTGTGTGGTTCCTTGCAGCCAGGTTGGGTAGACCGCTTCCGTCATCTCATCTTCAGATTCATCCACCGAAGTAGAGGTTCCTTGCATCGGCTCAACACTGGTTGATGCTTCTGTGAAGACTCTCTCATGTCTCCCCAGATCTGTTGGTTCTGCACTGACTACACCAACATGATATTGGTCACCTGGATAAACTGGTAAGGAGGCATCTGATGGTTGCGGAGATGTCTCCACATCTCTCTCATCCTTTGGAGACACTGTCTTCCCGTCCCACGTTCCAGCAGGGAACGCCGTCACCAGTTGAAGCTGCTCATCATCCTCCAACAATGGGACCCCCGCCTTGTTGAAAGGGCTGTAGGGCTCTTTGGGGAACTCTTTGGAGTCTCCTGAAATGATGGCCTCCTCGTTTTCCTTTGGGAAGAGCTCATTCTGGGCCAGCAACGGCAAATCGGAGTCGTGTTCCACTAAGACGTTGTCAATCCCTGTGTTATAGCTTCCCTCCGTTTCTGGATCTATGCGGACTACAGGGCTGGGGCTCACCCCGACAGACGAGCCACTTGGTTTCTTACCGGGTTGACGGGCTAGAAAAGAGAGAGACACAAGAGCTTATCACGCCAGAGTTTGCGAGAACAAAGCCCACCAAACAGTTGTGGCACGCTTTCAAATCAATCCTATTCTTACCACTATTTCAAACAATAAGAACCGATAGGCGGAAAACATCCTTAATTAACATAGAAAAGGCAGTTTCAAAGCATTAAGCATTAAGCAGTGAAACCCCAGATATAAGGGTAGTGACGGAAGTAGGTCACAGGTGTGGGGTTGGTGGAAATGGGTGTGGTAGGATATTGTAACTGTATAATTTTGGTTAGTTATTGTTTATTTGTTCTCTGTTTTTTATGTTTGTCTACTTGTCTATACACATAATAAAAGTGAAAATATGTATGTGTGTATGTTGCTGGGGTGTCCACTTACACAGACAAGCTCCGGCCTCCACAAACAGCTCTTGCTCCTGCTACTCAGGAGACCCCAATGGCTCTCCCTCCAATGACATTGCAGGTTACAGTGAGCGCCATGAACATGCCCAAGAGCCTTGCCAATGTCCTCCACAAACACAACACTGACCACCACCCAAGTGAAGGCTTTCATACGGCAACCATTTCATCCTAGATTTTATGTGTTTCTTCCACCACAGACATCCCAGTGTTTTTGACTCTCTCCATTGGTGTGAAATTTGCATGACCCAGCCCACCGCCTCTCCCTTCTTTTCTATGGCACATAACAAACAGAGGAATTGATCAGCAATTGAACATTTTAGAGAGAATTCACCATGATTTATACAAGTTGTAGGACCTGGGATGTATAGTTCACCTGCAATCAAAGACCACTCTGAACTCCACCAATGATGGATCTGGAACTCACTTGTCACACAGAAGTCCCATGACCAACAAAACATACTGGGGAATTTATAGGAGTTGTATTTCACCTACATCCAAAATGCACTATCAACCCAAACAATGATGGATCTGGACCAAACTTGGCATGCACACCTGATATGCCCACATTTACTGGTGGGTTCAGATACTGGTGGGTTCAGAGTTGGTGGGTTCAGATACTGGTGGGTTCAGATACTGGTGGGTTCAGAGTTGAATTGGGCTGGATGTTTTGGAGTTGTAGGTACTGGGATTTATAGTTCACCAACAATCAATGAGCACTCTGAATGCCACCAAAGATGGAATTGGACCACACTTGGCACATAGAACTCCCATGACCAGCAAAAAATACTGGCGGTCTTTGAGAGAAGTTCACCTTGATTTGGGGGAGTTGTAGTTCAGAGAGCACTGTGAACCCAAACACCGATGGATCTGGACCAAACTTGGCACACATACTTGATAAGCAAAAATTTGATTACTGGAGTGGTTTGGGGGGAACTGACCTTCCTTTCTGGGAGTTGTAGTTCACCCACAACTATAGAAACGGTGGCCTCCACCTATGATTGACCTGGGCCAAAGTTGGCACACAGAACCCCCATGACTAACTCAACCTACTGGAGGAGTTTGAGGGGACTGACTCACCATAGTGGGAGTTGTAGTTTATCCTACAGCCAGAGAGCACACTGAACCCCACCCACGATGCATCCAGAGCAAACTTGCCCAACATAACAGTACTGATTGGGTTTCAGAGGGTTAGCATGATGTGAGTTGTAGTTCACCCACAACCTTATGCTTTTTGTACAATTAAAAAATTGACTTTTTCAAATAACACAGGCAACGTCGGGGACCCAAGCTAGTATACAATAAAAATAATCTAAGAAAACCAAAACAAATGAAAAGCAGTTTCAAAGGATTAAGACCACTAAGCAGTGAGACCCCAAAGCTCCACTTAATGGCCATTCGGGGCTTTGAGCCCTCTAAATTAAGTCGAGAAGGATACTTTAATTTTACGGCATCGATATGGTATCTTAGTCAGCATTCAGCAATCACCTTCGAGGGCACTGCAATCAAAGAGTCATCAAATCCTAAAATTGGAAGGGGACTCTGAGGGCCATCTAGTTTTGCCTCCTGCCTTGCAGGGATGTAGAATGAAAGCACTCTGTGTAGAGACGCTCTCGGAAAGTGGTGGACTCTCCTTCTTTGGAAGTCTTCAAACAGAGGTTGGGTGGACAAGTTTTGGGAATGCTATAATACCAGTTTTGGTGGACCGTTTTTAAGTCACTTGGATTCAATCGTTCTACAGCGTTGTTCTGTGGTCTGAGCCGGCGCAATTTACGGGGCAATCATTTCAGTCACTTTGAGCTGCAAACTGGTCAGGGGCACTGGGATTCAATTTTCCTCATGTCAGCCAAAACAGCTGGAGCGTTCAGCGGCCTGGCGGGTGATTTATAGAGGCGCTTTTGGACACGAGAGTGCCAGCCGAGCCCCTTCCAGGCTCCGTGTTAATAGCATCAAGTGCCAGGGTTTGTATACCATCACAATGGAATACCCATCTAGGATTTAAGTGGACCTTTGTTTGTCAAGAATGCCCTTGGATAACAGTCATTGCAAATCAAAGCTGACTTGGAGGGACATCCTGACAATAACATAAGAGGTCAGTCTTAGTTATGGGTTATTTCAGAGTAAAACAAATCCACAAACCGGGTTGCTGTGAGTTTTTTGGGCTATATGGCCATGCAGTTGCATTCCCTCCTGACGTTCCGCCTGCATCTGTGGTTGGCATCTTCTGAAGTTCTGTTGGCAGTGAGGCAAGTGGTGTGTGTGTATATATATACGCACAGTATATACAGTATATACAGTATATGTATTATATATACCGTATATACTGTGTATACACAAACACACACACACACACACACACACATATATATGGAGCCCCCGGTGGCTCAGTGGATAAAAGCGCTGAACTGCTGAGCTTGTTGACCGAAAGGTCGCAGGTTTGAATCCGGGGAGCGGCATGAGCTTCCGCTGTCAGCCCCAGCTTCTGCCAACCTAGCAGTTCGAAAACATGCAAATGTGAGTAGATCAATAGATACCGCTCCGGTGGGAAGGTAACGGCGCTCCATGCAGTCATGCCGGCCACATGACCTTGAAGGTGTCTATGGACAACGTCGGCTCTTCGGCTTTGAAATGGAGATGAGCACCACACCCCAAAGTCGGACACGACTGGACTTAATGTCAGGGGGAAACCTTTATCGTATATATATATATATACATATACATATACATATACATGTGTGTGTGTGTGTGTGTGTGTGTGTATGTATCTCCCTGTGGAATAATGCCCAGGGTGAGCGAAACAACCTTTGTTTGTGAGAAACAAGTGCGAATGTCGCAACGAGCAAGCTTGAATTAGCACTGGGTAGACATGAACTTTGCAAAGTCAATCAGTGAGGGTATCTACTCAGAGGTAGTGAAGCAAGTGGAGTATATTCTCTCCTAATGTTTGGCTTGCATCTGTGGCTGGCATCTGTTGGGAGTGAGGCAAGTGAAATGTGTGTGTGTGTGTGTGTGTGTGTGTATATATATATATATAACTGGCGAATGATGACCAGAGTGGGGGAAAGAACCCTTGTCTATGTAAAGCAAGTGTGGATGCCACAATGAGCAAACTTGAATTAGTATTAGGTAGCCATGAACTTTGCAAAGACTATCAGTGAGGGTATCTCCACAGAGAAAGTGAAACAAGTGGAGTGTATATATATCCCTGTGGAATAATGTCCAGGGTGAAAGAACCTTTGTCTGTGTAAAGCAAGTTTGATTGTTGCAATTAGCCAGCTTGAAATAGCATTGAGTGGCCATGAAGCTGCAAAGTCAATCAGTGAGGGTATCTGCATAGAGGTAGTGAAGACAGTGGAGTGTATATATATCTGTGGAATGATGTCCAGGGAGAAAGAACCCTTGTTCGGTTTGAAGCCAGTATTAATGTTGCAATGAGCAAGCTTGAATAGCATTGAATAGCCTTACAGCTGCAAAGTTAATCAGTGAGGGTCTCTGCATAGAGGTAGTGAAGCAAGTGGAGTGTATATATCTAGGGACTGATGTCCAGTGTGGAAGAAAGGGCCCTTGTCTATTTGAAGCAAGTGTGAATGTTGCAATGACCCGCTTGACTGGCATTGAATAACCTTGGAAGCTGCAAAGTCAATCAGTGAGGGCATCAGTGAGGTAGCCTGGCTGTTGTTGTTTGGGAGGTATTCACTGGCACTTGATTGTTTGCTGTCTGGAACCCCCCTGTTTCTGAATAGTGTTCTTTATTCTCATGTTGTTTTGTAAATACTTGTAATTAAAGTTTGTTCATTTTCATGGTTTCTTCTTTTCTGATGAAATTGTCGAACTGCTTGTGGAACACCAGAATTAAGACAGTAAATAAAGAACACCTGGAAACAGGGGAATTCCAGACAGCAAACAATAAAGCACCAGTTAACACCTCCCAAACAGAGGATGCCTTCAGGCAACAGAGGCATGACTATGCAGAGACCCTCTCTGATTGACTTTGCAGCTTCATGGTTACTCAATGCTAATCAAGCTGGCTAATTACAACATCCACACTTGCTTCAAACAGACAAGGGTTCTTTCTCCCACCCTGGACATCATTCCACAGGGATATAGACACTGCACTTGCTTCATTATCTCTATTCAGAGACCCTCTATGATTGACTTTGCAGCTTCATGGTTACTCAATGCTAATCATGCCTGCTCATTGCAACATCCACACTTGCTTCAAACAGACAGGGGTTCTTTCTCCTATCCTGGATGTTATTCCACAGATATATACACACTCCACTTGCCTCACTGCCAACAGAACTTCTGAAGATGCCAGCCACAGGTGCAGGTGAAAAGTCAGGACAGAATGCTGCTGGAACATGGCCATACAGCCTGAAAAACTCACAGCAACCCATTGATTTTGGTCATGAAAGCCTTCGACAACACAAATCCAAAAACCTTTGTAGCAGTAAGCGTCGAACTTGGAGGATGGATTGGGGAAGCCTGTCCGGTTGGGGAACTGATAGGCGGTCCTCACGCCGGGTTCGTCCCCTCCGCATTTCTTCCGCGGGACTCGGATCGGATAGCGGGCGCTCCCATCGGCAAGCCAGCCGGGGTCGCATTGGTCCAGACCTTCCTTCCAGGCAAGGTAGAGTTGACCCGTAGTAGCCAGCTGGGCGCCACGACTCAGGCAGTACTTTTGGGCCATCGGGAACGTCATCCGTCCCGGGCTGGAGGCGTAGAACACTTTCCCTGAAAAGGGGAAAACAGAAAAGAATGAGAACAAGAATGTTCACAGAAGCAATTTGCCCGACGGCTTGCCATTCCAATGAGTTTGATAGCCACGACTCACAGTGAGAATCAAATCAGTCTAATCACTCTTTGCTTCCATCAAATGAAGACTTGCACTTCTATTTATACTCCTTTATCTGTGGTTCCAATAGGCCTCCAGGCTCCTTTTTCCTGCCCAATGAACGCATTTAGGAGTCTCCATAATCATTCGTTCATCTTTACAGCCTCCTAGAGCAGCAATTCTCAAAGTTTTTTAGCCACAGCGCCTTTTTGAAGCAAACGTTTATCATGGAGCCCCAAGAAATGTTATATTATATATTATTATTATTATTATTATTATTATTATTATTATTATTATTATGTACATATATAAAGCATGGGTAAACTTTCGGACACAATGAGTTTTAAAATTTGACAGTCCAACCCCTTCTGCCGTGCAGTAAAAACACAATCAAAGTACACCCAACAGATGGCCACCCAGCCTTTGTAGTAATAATAATCTATATAAATAAAAACAGCACAACAACAGAGAGGAAACAAACAAGGACATCTAATCACCTCTCAACAAAAGTTTGCTCTAGGCACTGTCGGGCCATTATATGCTAATCAAGGTGGTCAGTTGAAACATTCACACCTAGCTCCAGCAGACAAGAGTCCTTTGTCCCACCCTGGTCATTCCACAGATATATAAACCCTTTTTTCCTAGTTCCAACAGACCTCACTACCTCTGAGGATGCTTGCCATAGATGCAGGCGAAACGTCAGGAGAGAATGCCTCTAGAACATGGCCATATAGCCTGAAAAAACCTACAACAACCAATATATGTTCGTTTGTGGGATTAACATAACTCAAAAACCACTGGACGAATTGACACCAAATTTGGACATAAGGCACCTATCAGGCCAGTGAGTGACCATCACTCATAAAAACACTGAAAAACACAGCAGAAGAGACTTAAAAAGCCAAAATTACATTACATGTGGAAAACCACATATACACAAATATATACACATACATACACAGACTCTGCCACGCGTGGCAGGGGACAGCTAGTGATAATAATAATAATAGGAGCAACCCCAAGGGCTATCCACTTCTACCCTCCTTCTGCTGGCCATCCAGCCTTTGTAATAATAATAATAATAATAATAATAATAATAATAATAATAGCAGAAACTCCAGAGGCCATCCAGTCCAACCCTTCCCTGCCATGCAGGAAAAGCACAATCAAAGCACTCCCAACACATGGGCATTCAGCCTTTGTAATAGTACTACTGATAATAGGAGCAACCCCAAGGGCCATCCAGTTCAGCCCCCTTCTCTCTGCCATGCAGGAAAAGCCCAATCAAAGCACCCCCAACAGATGGCCACCCAGCCTTTGTAATAATAATAATAATAGCAACCCCAGAGGCCATCAGGTTCAATTCCCTTCTGCCATGCAGGAAAAGCACAATCAGAACACCCCCAACAGATGGCCACTCAACCTTTGAAATAATAATGATAATAATAACACTAACAATAAATAATAATAATAATAATAATAATAATAATAATAATAATAGCAGAAACCCTAGAGGCCATCAGGTTCAATTCTCTTCTGCCATGCAGGAAAAGCACAATCACAACACCCCCAACAGATGGCCACCCAACCTTTGAAATATTAATGATAATAATAACACTAACAATAAATAATAATAATAATAATAATAATAGCAGAAACCCCAGAGGCCATCCAGTCCAACCCCCTTTATTCTGCCAGGAAGGAAAGACACAATCAAAGCACCCCCAAAAGATGGCCACCCTGCCTTTGTAATAATAATAATAATAATAATAACAACAACACTAATAATAATAATAATAATAATAGGAGCAATCCCAGCAGCTATCCAGTCCAACTCCCTTCTGCTATGCAGTAAAAGCACTATCAAAGCACACCCAACACATGGCCATCCAGCCTTTGCAATAACAATATTTTGTGTGTGTCAGGAGCAACTTAAGAAACTGCAAGTTGCTTCTGGTGTGAGAGAATTGATCAGCAAGGACATTGCCCAGGTGATACCTGGATTTTGATGTTTTACCATCCTTGTGGGAGGCTACTCTCATGTCCCCACACGGGAAGCTGGAGCTGACAGAGGGAGCTCAACTCACTCCCCCCAGATTCCAACCACTGACCTGTCGGCAGCAGTCCTGCCAGCACAAGGGTTTAACCCATTGCACCACCATGAGCTCCTAATAATAATAATAATAATAATAATAATAATAATAATAATAGGGCCGTTATGACCAGTTCTGTGCTCAACAAGTTGGGCAACTTGATTGACACTGCAAAATTTGGAAACCAAATTCGATGACAAATGATTGAAGGAGCTGGATATGTTTGGAGCACAGAAGAACAAGAGGGGACATAATGTTTTAAGTATTCAGTATGATGGATGTAGTGGACTTGTTTTCTGCTGCTCCAGGGATCAGGACATAAGTCAATGAATGTGAATGGCAAGAAAAGGGATCTGACTTAAAACTTGAGAAAGGACCTGCTGATGGGAAGAGCTGGTGGCAAAGAGGATGAGGATGGATGGCTACCCGTTGGGAGTGTTTCCAACTCAAAGATGCTTGGCTTTCTTAGATGTCCGAGAGATACCTTTCTGCCGGCTCTTGTGCAACCAAGGGAACTGCTATTACTTAAGCCACAAAAGAAAAGGGAAGATAAGTTACCCTTTCGCTTGGGAGCTCCTTCTCCATTGCGAGAGACAAGGGAAGTGCTCGAGCATGGCCAATTTATCAAAGCAACGCTTCCTCCTCCTCATGGCATCGCTTTCTTTCATTTCATTAGGAAAGCTTTCCCAAAGCCAAACGGGAAAAGGGGGCAATTTCTCTTCTTCCTTGTTTCGATGCAGGAGACAAGGATGCAGCCTCCCAATCAATATTTGCTTGGGCATTTTGTTGGGCGCAGGCCACAGAATCAAAGAGTTGGAAGAGACCCCCAAAGGTCATCCAGTCCAACCCGATTGTGTCATGGAGGAAAATATAACCCTCCCAATGGATAGCCATGCGGTCTGTTTCAAAACGCCCGAAGATGGAATAATAGAATTGAAGTGTTGGGAGGGACTTCAAAGGCCAACCAGTCCAACCCTATTGTGCAGCTTCACAATCGGGTCTCTCCCAACAGACAGCCATTCAGGACTCTGTTTCAAAGAATCCAAAGATGGAATAATAGAAGCATTGGTAGGGAGGGAACCACCCAAGGTACACCATACGTTCCACATTTGCAGGTTCGACTTTGGCAGATTTGATTACGACATTTGATTAAGACAAGAATGTGACCAGAGGAGGGTGACTAAAATGATCAAGGGTCTGGAGAACAAGCCCTATGAGGAGCGGCTTAAGGAGCTGGGCATGTTTAGCCTGAAGAAGAGAAGGCTGAGAGGAGATATGATAGCCATGTATAAATATGTGAGAGGAAGCCAGGAGGGAGCAAGCTTGTTTTCTTCTGCCCTGGAGACTAGGACGGGAACAATGGCTTCAAACTACAAGAAAGGAGATTCCATCTGAACATGAGGAAGAACTTCCTGACTGTGAGAGCCATTCAGCAGTGGAACTCTCTGCCCCGAGTGTGGTGGAGGCTCCTTCTTTGGAAGCTTTTAAACAGAGGTTGGATGGCCATCTGTCAGGGGTGATTTAAATGCAATATTCCTGCTTCTTAGCAGGGGGTTGGACTGGATGGCCCATGAGGTCTCTTCCAACTCTTTGATTCTATGATTCTATGATTCTCTATAGAAATCTCCTCCATTGTGACTCTACAGTAGGCATGGGCAAACTAAGACCCGGGGGCCGGATGCAGCCCCCTGGACGCTTACCTCAAGCTCTTCTCATTTTCCCTGTCCTCTTGGCATACAAACATGGTAGCCCGCTATATCCTTATGTCAAAAAGATGGGGGAGGAAGGCACATAGCAGCTGAGTGCCCTCTGGAGTGCTCTCAACTACCCTTTGTCTCCCTCTTGTCTCGGCATAAAGATGGTACAAGCAACCCTATCCTTATGCCAGAAGGACGGCTCGAAGAAAGCACGTGGCGGCTGAGAACCCTCCGGAGCACACTCAACTGCCACCTGTGTCGCCCTCCTCCCAGCATAATGCCAAGGAGGATTGGGGGAGCAGGATGGGAAAGAGGATTGGAGCAGCTGCCACGTGTTCCACCCTCCTCCCAGCATATGGATGGGACGAGCAGTACTCTTTCTAATGCTGGGAGGACAACCTGAGGATGACCCAGGCCCTGTCCTACCCACCCCCTTGTGCAGTCCTTTCCCGGGCCCTCCGCATCCAGCTTGTGCCCGGCCTCCATCCCTCCTGGCCCAGTCCTCCTGCCCGGGCCCACAATGCAGCCCTGAGGCAAAAAAGTTTGCCTATGCCTGCTCTACAATCAGCCTGCTGTATGTTGACCATACAGTGTTCTCTGTAGGAATCTCTAGCTCCTGCTGCCATGAAATATGAGGTATGGATTGAATGAAATTGTATGAAAGATGTATGAGGACGGGCTTTAGCACAGTGGGTTAAACCGCCAGTTGCAGAAAATCTTGCCGATTAAAAGGTTGACAGTTCAAGCCCGGGTTGGGATGAGCTCCCAGATAAATAGGTACCATTTTGTGGGGAGGTAATAAAAGGTATCCATGTGGACATGCCGACAATTTGATCGGGAGAGCGTCTAAAGACAACAAAGCTCCTTGGCATGGAAGATGGAGTGGCAGCACCTCTCCGTGGCTGGAGTCGAGCACAGCCTCCAGATTCCGGAGATGGAAAACGATGGGATGTCTTTACCTTTGTTCATGTATTGTCTGTCTTTGTTAATTGTATAACGACATTGAATGTTTGCCGTATATGTGTACTGTAATCCGCCCTGAGTCCCTTCGGGGAGATAGGGTGGAATATAAATAAATAAAGTGTGTGTGTGTGTGTGTGTGTATGTGTGTATATATGTATATATATATATATATATATATATAGTCATGTCAGGAGTGACCTGAGAAACTGCAAGTCGCTTCTGGTGTGAGAGAATTGGCCGTCTGCAAGGACGTTGCCCAGGGGACGGCCAGATGATTTTGATGTTTTATGATCCTTGTGGGAGGCATCCCTCATGTCCCCGCATGAGGAGCTGGAGCTGATAGAGGGAGCTCATCCGCCTCTCCCCGGATTCGAACCTGCGACCTGTCGGTCTTCAATCCTGCCGGCACAGGGGTTTAACCCACTTCGCCACCAATATAAAGTATATTATTATGGTTGGGTCTAAATAGCCTAAAGATGCCATCCTAAGAAATGAAGCCTGGAAAACTACAAAAGGAAAATTCATGAACTGTAATTAAAAGTTGCCGATTAGAACTGCTGAACTGTTGATGACTAGAAACAAATGATTAGCTCTTGGTGGAAAACAACATGTTTACATTACCAAAGACAACAGCTCCTTTAAGTAAGGAAGTGTTTACAAGATTCCTTACATTAAGAAGGAAGCAAACAATGCTCCTTAAGATTTAAAAGTTGCTGATGAGAACTGCTGGCGTGACCAGAGACAATGATTAATTCTGTGGTTGAAAACAACATGTTTACATAGTCAAAGACAATGGTTCCTTACGATAAGAATGAAAACCAACATCACTTAAGGAAGAAAACTCAATATCTGTGTGAAACTGATGGAGTTAGCATGTTTTAACTGCAAAACAACCTGTTAGTCATTTACAACTTTTTGGAACGACAACAGCAGAAAATTGCTATCTAAGAGATCTTTTTTACTATTCAAAAGTGTGTCAGATTTGCATGAATGCAGGGTCTGTACACCCACCTCTTTCTCCAAAGGACAAAGAGATGTGCAATCCATTAAACATTATTCAAAAGTCATTACAAAACTGGGGGCACTGGTGCTTCATTTCTAAGAGTTTCTAAAGTATACTTAGTGAAAATTTCATTACTATAATGAGACTAATGAAATTTCATTACTATTTCATAACAGTAATTGTGCAAAATTAAATTACTATAATCGGGGAAACTTCAGGGGCTCCTTTCTCTCTCATTTTTAAAGCTATTGGGGTGAAACTTAAGATAATGGCAGAACACATTTACCACTGTTAGCCCACCAATCTCCTGTCCTAATTAGGGCTCTCTGATGCTGATGCCTTCTAGGAAATGTTGTTTAGGGCAGAGCCTTTTGAATTCTTTGGCATAGGACTCCTCTCCTTCCCAAACTACATTTCCCAGAGTTCTGTGCTGTTCCCAAAAGGCACTGCTCCCTCTTTTCACGGCTCCTAACGCCGAGACTTCATTAATTTCAGGCAGGCAGGGAGGGAGCCTTTTTGGCTTAATGACTTTGCTTCCTTGCACTAAATATGAAACTGACTTTGGGAGCCTTCTGAAATTTACAAAACTTAAACAAAAAGTATGGGGTACATTTTGATTCTAAAATATTTCGTACGGCCCACGCAAATGCTTTGGATATGGCTTCCAACTTACAAGACTTCCAATTTTCTTACGATTTCTGACACTTTTTTGCACGTGCCTAGTATCTACTTTCCTTCTCCGAAAGTACCAAATATAACCAGTCTCACTGAAAATTGAATAAAGGAACCTTTTCAATGTTTAAAAAGTGTTCATGACAGGATGGGGACTCATACTCTGGAGACTCACCTCGCAGCTCCTTGGCGTAACAGTAGGCATCGTACGCTTCCTCACCGTCTCTCTCACCATAACTCCGGACACCAGGGAGACTATTTCGGTCCCCGTAGCATCCAGGCCTTGAAAGGGTGATGGGATATCTATGTTTGACATGAGCAAGGAGTAAAAAGAGAGGCAGACAGTCAAGGTTTGAGTGATACAGTTCTGTTAATATAGGCTTGAATCCCCATCTCTGGAGGTTTTCCAATCGAGACTGGATGGCCATCTGTCAGGAGGGCTCAATTGTGTCTTCCTGAATAGCATTTATTATTTCGGGGGGTCTCTTCCAACTTTATATTTCTTCAACATCAAGATGAATTATTTAACACATCTTAAGTCCTAATAGACTTGACAAAGAGTGTGTCTACACCTTACGTTCCACATTTGCATGTTCAACTTTGATTAAAATGTTCTCTATAGGAATCTCTTGGTCTTCCATTGAGACTCTACAGTCAACATCTGTTGGATGTCGACCAGACAGTGTTCTCTGTAGGAATCTCCAGGTCCTCCATTGAGACTCTAGGGTCAGCTTCTGCTAGATGTTGACCATACAGTGTTCTCTACATGAATCTCTAGGTTCTCCATTGAGACTCTAAGGTCAGCTTCTGCTAGATGTTGACCATACAGTGTTCTCTATAGGAATTTCTACGTTGTCAATTGAGACTCTAAGGTCAGCTTCTGCTAGATGTTGACCATACAGTGTTCTCTATAAGGAATCTCTAAGTTGTCAATTGAGACTCTAAGGTCAGCTTCTGCTAGATGTTGACCATACAGTGTGCTCTATAGGAATCTCTAGGTTGTCCACTGAGACTCTAAGATCAACTTCTGCTGGATGTTGACCATAACGTATTCTCTATAGGAATCTCTAGGTCCTCCATTGAGACTCTAAGGTCAGCTTCTGCTAGATGCTGACCATACAGTGTTCTCTATAGGAATCTCTAGGTTGTCCATTGAGACTCTATGGTCAGCTTCTGCTAGATGTTGACCAAACAGTGTTCTCTATAGGAATCTCTAGGTCCTCCATTGAGACGACTCTAAGGTCAGGTTCTGCTGGATGTTGACCATACAGTGTTCTCTGTAGGAATCTCTAGGTCCTGTATCATGATTCTGGAGTGATTCTACGCTCATCTTTGAGCAGAAGTTGACCCTAGGGTTGTGATGGAGGAACTTAGTCTTATAGAGATGTTCTCTCACATTAAAAATGCTATTTTTATTTGAAATGCTTCACTTTCATGGGGATCTTAAAGTTACTCAGTGAATATGGAGGACTGGCAATTATTCCTACCAGGATTAAGTTGTAATGTGGGGATGCGAACTCTAGAACAGAAAGGGGCCAATGGAATGGAAGTTGACCATGGAGTTGTCCAAGAAGTAATCCCATAAATGACTAACAACTGTAACCAAAGAGCTTTTGGGATTTGTCTGAAAGGGATTACTTTAGGGAACCAGTTATAGATGGTTTTGGCGACCGAAAATATGTACTTTCTTTTACAGATCTGGGTTTTGGGGGATCCCACCTACCGAACGGTATGATCGGAGAGCCACCCGGCATCACAGTTGTCATAGCCATCCTCAAAGGCCGCTTGGAGGTGGGCAGGGGATGCCATGATGGCTGAATTCTCCTCGCAAGCCCTCTGAGCCTCTGGGAAGGTCAAGGCATAGCGGTTGCTGGCGGCTCGATAGTGGAAAACCACACCTGAAAGGGAACAATGGTGAGACAGATATGAATTAGAGGGCTTCGAAGTGTAGGACTGGTGAAAAAACATTGCAATACAGGATTCCCATTTTCCAGTCCCTGGTGGTAATATAGTATTAGGAGCATGAACACCAATGACTAAGAATCTCAATGACAGGATCAATGTACTTGAGAGGTTGTATAACAGAGTAATAGTGTGTATAAACTGAGGTTGACTTATACACAAGTATATACGGTACTCTGTTGTATACTTGTACTGCACTCTTTTATATACTTGTACCATATATACTTGTGAATAAGTCAAGGTTATATACAAATATATACAGTAATCTGTTATATAGTCTCTGATGTATACCTCAAGGCAGGTTTTGGGTCCCATGGATAAATCATTGAGATGTACAATACTTATATTGACTCACGGATAAGTTTTTGTTTTCAATTGTTTGACAAATATTTCTATATATATAATATAACTGCATACACAATATATTAATGACTGCCTATATTCACATTGACCTCTGAATAAGTTAACCCTGGTTTTTTGGGGGGTGGGGTCAATTTTGGATGAAAATTTCTAGACTTATAAAACAGTATATATGGTATATTAATGTCCGCCCATGTTCACATTGACCCATGGATAAGTCAAGGTTCAATTGACCAAAATGTCTCTAGACTTATATATGACTATATACGATATATGACTAGCTACCAATTCCCCTATGATGCTCTAGGCAATGCTACTCACCTGTGACCTCCAAGGGCACCAGGTCTTGTTCGTCATGGATCCCAGCGACCACCTCGCAACGATAAAGCCCAGCATCGCTTGCTCGGGCCGCTGAGAGTAAGAGGGTGGCATTGTAGCGGCGGTGTGGGTAACCCGGGAGGGAAATCCTTCCTTCGTAGCCCTTTGAGACCTTCACCACGTTGTCCTTGGCCACCAGGACCGAGATGTCCTCCGGTTGGCCGGAAGCCGACTGCACTTTGCTCCACTTGATGCGGGGCGGGTCGGCGGCCTCATTTGGGCTAAGGTAGGTTGACGGCTGCAAGAGGAAGAGGCACGGGAGGGCCACAGGCTCCGCCAGCCCGACTCGGAGTGGCTGGTGGTGGACCTTGTTGATGTGGATCACCTTCCCGTTGTCCTGTGAACCTGGGGACAAAACAGAGAGATGCAGGTCAAGAGACTGCAGGTGTGGACACATTCTCCTTCCAGAACTTGTTGGACTGTACATCCCAGTGGAACCCCACCAACATCATCATAGTGATGAACCAATGTGTCAATGGATCTCAGGTTCAACAATACATTCCAGTAAGCCTGTGTGGAGAGGCACTCTGAAAGCTGAGGTTCATTAATCTCTGAAGGGCAACCAATGAGTCAATGGATCTCACATTCAACTATACATCCCAGCAGGTCCATGGGGAGAGGAACCCTAAAAGGTGATGCTCTTCTATCTCTGAAAGGGAACCAATTGGATCTTGGGTTCAACTACATATCCCAGCAGGCCCATGGGGAGAAGAACCTTGAATGGTGAAGTTCAGCCATCTTTGAAGGGCAAGCAATGGGATCTCAGGTTCAACTACACATCCCAGCAGGCCCATGGGGAGATGAACCCTTAAAGTTGAAGTTCATTCATATCTGAAGGGAAAGCAAAGGGATCTCAGGTTCAACTGTAAATCCCAGCAGGCCTGTGGGGAGAGGAACCCTGAAAGGTGAGGTTCATCCATCTCTGAAGGGCAAGCAATGGGATCCCAGGTTCAACCATACATCCCAGTAAGCCTGTGGGGAGAGGCACTCTGCAAGCTGAGCTTCATTAATCTCTGAAGGGCAACCAATGGGTCAATGGATCTCACATTCAACTATATATCCCAGCTGGCCTGTGGGGAGAGGAACCCTAAATTCCAATCCCCTATCAAGCTTTTCTTGCCCAACTTGTATAATGTTGACTGCATTGAAGGATCCTGCACAGGGTTTTCTCTCTAGCCAAGAAAGACACACACTTCCTTCTCTCCCAATTAATCATTTCTGTGCGGCTCCGATTGATTTTTCTCGGCTGCCAGCTGGACCCAATTACAGGCAAAGTGAAGATGGCGAGGAGAAGGGAGGAAACAAAGGGAAAGCGAGCCAAGCGTTGTGACTCTGGGGGTCTCCGTTGACCTTTGATGGCGTCTCTGACTTCCCGCTGCTCTTTTAAGACAATGCTAACCTTATCGGAGTAGAGAAATGAAGGCTTCCATGTGTATTTACTTGCCAATTGATAGCAACTCATTGGGATGGTTCCTTCCTCCGAAACATACCCTGACCCTGGTTAGCTTCTAAGCTCAGAGAGGTCATTTGGGGACACGATTTTGGGGACATTTACACTTCCAAATTGCCCTGCGGTTTATGGCAACCCCATGAGTTTCTTAGGCAAGGAAGGCTCAGCTTGGTGAATTTTTCACAGGAAAAAGTGCTGAAATGCGAAATTCTTTGACCATTTCCAAAATATTCCCAAACACTCTTTCGGTCCCATCAACGGGTATGAAACCATCCCTTTGGGGATGGCTATCGGATCTCAAAGGGCATCAGATGGCAGCGGACGGGAGGGAGTCTGTCCAACCGCTTGTCTCCGACCCCATTTGCTTTGTCTTGCCGTCATACCTTATTAATGATCCCTCTTCCAATTACCATTAATACTTAATACTTAATTGCCCATACCTTATTTGTCACTTGCGGCTTACGGTCGATTTGCAGCTTGTTTGTTTACGAAGGAGATGGGGGAAAAATGAGAACGGGGTTGGCCATTGCCCTTCTGGCAACCCATTGATCTCTGTCTGTTGCCATAATAATCTGGAAGCCTTCCCTCCCCATATGAGTCTGCCTTATTATTATTATTATTATTATTATTATTATTATTATTATTATCGTTGTTGTTGTTATTTTATCGTAATATAAAACCCACATTTCGCGGATTTCAAATAGGTCTGAATCGTTTTAATGAGCCATTTTGGGATCATTCCAGCTTTCAGCTGGATCTTACAGCAAGGGCGCACCCCCCCCCCCCCCCCCCAAAACCAAATGGCATTCTTTTCAATCAAACTCACCCAAAACGGAGTTGGGCAGGAGGAGATATCCCAGCAGGACCCAGCAGCCGACTTCTCCCCGGACGAGGACCATTTTATCCTGGAATTAAAATGAGATTTTAAAATAGATATTCCTACATACAACTTAGGAAAAAAAAATCCAGACCCATAATATAATTATGTAGTTTCATCTCTAGGCATTTTCCAGGCCTTTCAAGAAACTCGAAGGTTAACTTCTGCCAAAGGGGCTGGTGCCCCATCCAACTACAACTCCCAGCTTCCCAGAGCCTTGAGCTGGGACAGTTCAAGTAGAATCAAACTGCATTATTTTGACTGTATAGACGAAATGTGTGCCAGCCGGCGCCGGCTTCTGTTTACCCGGCAAGGAGTGCCAACAGGGGCTCATATTTTATTTAAACGACAAACATTAGGAAGCCGACGTTTCCGAAAGCGTCGAACGGAGTGGATTAAGAGGCGGAATCAATTTGAGCACGCCGCTGCTGTGCTTACAAATGAGAGCCCACTCGTCCTCCGTTTATTCGGCGTAGTTCTTTCTTTCTCTCTGCAATATCACTCCGTAACCTCCCTGAGGCTATTTCACGCAAACAAGCCTTGACTCCATTCCACTGAAATGTTAGGAAGGGACTAAATACCCTCAAGGCAAGAGATTCTGTCTGGTCTTGGAAGCTAAGCAGGGCCATCCCAGGTTGATTCTTGGATGGGAGACCGCCAATGGAGGAAGAAATTGGCAAAGTCAGAGGTCAAGATGTGACTTGGAAGCACATAGATAGATACCTTGTTCTTGAATGATCTAAATATCCTGCACTGTAGCCTATCCAATCTTGGATGCTAAGCAGGGCTGTCCCTGGTTGGTGCTTGGATGGGAGACTGCCAGTAGAGGAAGGGATTGGCAAAACCATTGTCGTAAGTGAAGACGTGACTTGGAGGCACATAGATAATTTGTCCCTGAATGATCTAAACATTCTGCACTGGAGCCTATCCAATCTTGGATGTTAAGCAGGACCAACTGTGGTTGGTGCTTGGATGGTAGACTGGCAATAGAGGAAAGAATGGGCAAAACCATTGRCATAAGTCAAGACGTGACTTGGAGGCACATAGATAACATCTCCCTGAATGATCTAAACATTCTGCACTGGAGCCTATCCAATCTTGGATGCTAAGCAGGGCCAACTGTGACCGGTACCTGGATGGGAGACTGCCCGGAGGCTTTATTTCAGAGGAAAGGATGGGCCAAACCACCTAATCCTATGAATCCAAGCAACATGGAGGCACACATATACACAGCCTAAAAGGGAATCTAAGCAGGGTCAGCCCTGGTTGTTACTTGATGGGAGACCGTCAACAAACGCCACGTTCTCGTAACTGAAGGAAGTGATTTAAATGCTGTTGGACTCCCAAAAGCAGCTGACAACAAGGGCATCCTATTTTCCGGATGTATTTTTTTCCAGCAGCGACAAACTGCAGCAATTCTCACCAGCAGCAGCACTTGAGTCTTGCCTGGGGCTCATTTGTCACTGCCGACCAATTTTGTTCCGCCACAGCTTCAAAATGCATTCGGATGGAACCATTTTCCCCCTTCCTATATTTTGCAGCTAAACGAAATATTAGGGATCCAGCGTCGTTTCCAATGCAAGCCATTCTACATAATAAACTAGGCATGAGTTTAATTATGCTATTCATTGAATTCAATTATGCAATTAAAGCGGCGCCGTCATCGTTTCAAATAATAAAAAGTCCAGTGCATCCATTCGCAAATGAAGTGACTAAAGATAAACGTTTTACATTATTATTATTATTACTACTACTACTATTATTACTATAACTCTTATTACTACTACTACTATTATTATTGCTATGTACATAACAAGACAGCACATATGCACATTACGTCCAAGGATTTGTCTCTGAATATCGGGCCATCGATTACTACTATTATTATTATTGCTATTATTACTAATAGTATTATTACTATTATTATACTAGTACTATTATTATTGCTGCTATTACTGCTATTAATATTATTGCTATTACCATTATCAGTATTGCTATTATTATTACTATTAGTACTGTTATCTTTACTATTATTTTACTATTACTACTATTGCTATTCCCACTATCAATATTGCTATTAGTATTATTATTATTACTATTAGTACTGTTATTTTTACTATAATTTTACTATTATTACTACTATTACTATTAATATTATTGCTATTACAAGTATAACTATTACTATTATTACTACTATTACTACTATTAATATTGTTGCTCTTACTATTATTACTATTGTTTTATTATTACTATTACTGCTACTATTACTATTAATATTATTGCTATTACTATCATTATTGTTATTATTATAGTAATAATGATAATAATAGTATTATTATTATTATTATTATTATTATTATTATTATTATTATTTTATTATTATTCTGCCAACCTAGCAGTTTGAAAACATGCAAGTGTGAGTAGATTAAGAGGTACTGCTTCGGCAGGAAGGTAACAGTGCTCCATGTAATTGTGCTGGCCATATGACCTTTGAGGTGTCTACGGACAACGCCGGTTCTTTGGCTTAGAAATGGAGATGAGCACCAACCTCCAGAGTCGGACACAACTAGACTTAATGCCAGGGGAAACCTTTACCTTTACCTATTACTATTACTGCTGTTATTATTATTCTTATCGTCATAATCATAATTTATTTTTTTACAATCCTTTTGCAACTGGTTTCTTTCTCTCCCTGCAAAGAAAGTGTTTTCTTCCTTCTTCCACTCTTCACTACTGAGCCAGCTGTGTGATGCTGCAGCAAGAAAGGCCAATACAATTCCAATAAGAGTACAGTGTCTAGAATGAGGAAAAGTCATTGTCGCATTTTATAAGTGAATAATAATACTGTCTCCAATTGAAATAGGATTGCAAATGTGTCCTCCAAAGAAATTCCAACCCCATGAAAAAAAAAACCAATATTGGAGGCAAGGCTTGCCTTAAGCTTGGAATTTGGTGAGTAAAATAGGCCCTTCTTTGTGTCTTTCGGCGCACGACGGATAGATTCCCCCCCGCATCTGTTCCCTCCTGAATAATTCATCCGGCTCATGAATATGCCCGTCTGGCAACGGGCGATTAGCTTCACACGAAATGCAATTGCAATCTTGGCAAGGAAATGGGATTTCTCCCACTTGCTTCGCGCCCCCATAGGAAGCCATGCCTTTTTGTGGAGGCCCCATAGGACCTTGGGATCCGGGGAAAAGACCCCCAAAAGGCAAAGAAGTCCCCCTTCCTTCCTTCCTTCCTTCCTTCCTTCCTTCCTTCCTTCCTTCCTTCCTTCCTTCCTTCCTTCCTTCCTTCCTATGACTAAGTTTCCATGGATGTCTTTGGCTTTCTTCCAATGCAAAAGCAGAGTGGAGGATGAGTCCTGGCACAGAAGCAAAGGAAATACGATAGGGTCATCCTATTGTCAGAAGCAAAGTAAAGCAAAAGGGCATCCTCTTGCCAGAGGCTTAAATGCCCCGAAAGGTCCGATTTTGGATGCTAAGCAAGGCCAACCCTGGTTGGTATTTGGATGGGAGACCAACGGAGGCTCTATTTCAAACCAAGCCACCTCTGAGTCTTCCTTGGCTGCGAAAAACTCATGAAATTATGCAATGAGAAATATATAATGATAATAATAATGATAATAATATTATACAATGAAGAGCGGAAGAGAAAACTGGCTAAAGAAGGCTCTCCGTGGACAGTTCCTGGGAAACAGTGAGAGCAAAGTTGACAGAGAAAAAACATGGATGTGGCTCACAAATGGAACTTTGAAAAAGGAGACGGAGGGCCGGGTTCTTGCAGCCCAAGAACATGCAATTGGAACCAATGCCATCAATGCCAGAATTGAAAAGTCAATGACAGATCCCAAGTGTAGACTCTGCAGACAAAACAATAGATCACATCCTCAGCTGCTGCAAGAAGATCGCACAGACAGACCACAAGCAGAGGCACAACACCGTTGCTCAGATGATCCGTTGGAACTTGTGCAACAAATAGCATCTGTGTGTGACAAAGAATGAATGAAACCACAAGCCTGATCAAACTACTCTGGGACTTCCTAATTCCCACTGATGGAGTTTTGGAGCACAAGACTAGTGACCTCTCGATCGTGGAAAAAAAACTAAGTATGGATTGTTGATGTTGCAATCCCAGGTGACAGCAGGATTGCAGAGAAACAACTGGAAAAGCTGACACAATATGAGGATTTAAAGATCGAACTGCAAAGACTCTGGCACAAGCCAGTCAAGGTGGTCCCAGAGGTGATCAGCACACTGGGTGCATTGCCTAAAGACCTTGGCCTGTACTTGAACACAATAGTCGCTGACAAAATCACCATCTATGTCAGTTGCAAAAAGCCACCCTACTCGGATCTGCATGCATTATTTGCCGATGCATCACACAGTCTTAGACACTTGGGAAGTGTCCAACATGTGATCCAGTTATCTTGTTTGCTGTGTACTAATCTTGTTGTATTTCAAACAACAACAACAACAACAACAATCTATACACATAATACAAGTGAAAATATGCATGCATATATGTGGCCGAGGTGTCCACTTACACCGACAAGCTCCTGCCTCCACAAACAGCTATAGCTCCCACTACTCAGGAGACAGCAAAGGCCCTCCCTCCAATAACATTGCAGGTTACGGAGAGCACCATGAACATGACAAAGAGCCCTGTCAATGTCCTCCACAAATACCATATGGCCCACCAACCAAGTAAAGGCTTTCATTCAGGGACGATTTCAGCCTAGACTTTATGTGTTTCCTCCTCCACAGACATCCCAGTGTTTCTTACTCTCTCCATTGGTGTGGAATTTGCATGACCCCACCCACTGCCTCTCCCTTAACCTTTTCCTATTCTTTTCTATGGCACACAGCAAACAGAGGAATTGATCAGCAAATGAACATTCTACAGAGATTTGGGGAGAATTCACCATGATGTACAGGAGTTGTAGGTCCAGGGATGTATAGTTCACCTGCAATCTAAGAGCACTCCAAACGCCACCAATGATGGATCTGGAACTAACTTGGCATGCAG